GGGGGGGTTTGTGAACTTACAGTTCCGGCGGCGCCCTTGAACAAGGCCATTTTGTCACCAGTGGGCTTCCAGTTCTCCTCGGGAACGATGCCCTTCAGGATCTCTGTGGCAATGTCCCATAGCTTGTCGTGCTCATCGCCGAAGAGGACGAGGACGCGGTTGCTCTGGGAGTTGAAGCTGCTGGGGACGTGGAGGATGGCCTCCTTGACGATCTCCTGGACGCGCTCCTTGCTGATGGTGAGGTCCTTGCTGAGGGGGTAGTATGAGCGGCGGCCCTTGATGTTCTCAAGAACAGCGTTGGCGGAGACGGTAGACATCTTGGCGGTGGTCTGTGGTGTGATTGTGGGGGTTGGTGTCGTTTTGCGAGTAGAGTGAGGACGCAGGTTCGAAGCGGTGATGCTAACGAGACGGCGGCTTGGTGATCCTGAGATGGACACGGGTTTGAGTGTGCGTAGGGTCTTGGAGAGAGACTTGACTCCGTTCATATGGGTTGATTGACTGGTGATACTGGTGGGATGGAGGGGCAAGCCGGGGAAGGGTGATCCAATTTATATCTTCCGGACAGGAGACGGGAGCTCGAAGTGGCCACGCCCGAGAAAGGGCCATTGCAAGCAGCATGTTGGAGGGCCCCGTCTATCTCCCTGAGCAAAACCCACCTAAACGTTACTCTAGAAGACCAAACCTGGCGGGCACCATAGTATGCTCTTGACGTAATGGGCCAATCCGGGACAGCAAAAGGGACCCAGGCAGGCAGTGGAGGTAGGCCGGGAGACGGGAGAAGTCTCCATTGCGTGCGCGTGTACTATGCAGTAGGAGCGGAGCCGTGGGTTTGCTGCTACTACCCGCTATCGAGGGCAAAGTTGCTTAACGAAGCATTCAATAAGCAAAGCAGTCGAGGCCGCGCCTAACTGGGACCAGATGACAAACCCAGTTTCTGGCAGCAAAAACTGCTTTGGGGCCTGAGGGGGCTTAGGGGGCTTCTGGCTACGGTTCCGTGATGGGTCCCTGACAGGGATGCATCTGCCTCGGGGCCAGCTTAGCGTCATGGATCGCAAGACAGTGGCAGTGTGGCGCATATGCCCGGGTAGAATTTGCATACCTCCAGGGGGGATTTGGAAGACTGCTGGTAGGTACATGAAGCTGTACATCAATTTACATGCCTAGTACAAGCCCGTTCGCTCAATCATCTCCATACGCAGTAGTCCATACACAACTCAATTACAGTGCTGACCCTACCATGTAGGATCATAGCACGCATGCCTGGTAGAAGGATTCTCTATTCCTTCCGGATGCAGCTGAGGGCTGTGAGCTTTCCAGCGATAGAGTTGGAGGATTGACCAATGGCCAATGCCTGTGCGATAATGACTCGGTCGTCGGTGTGGAATTACTCGGATCGCACCCACGCGCAAGTCACGTAACTCAGATGGTCCATTGGAAATTGCCATGTAAACATATCTTAATCAAGGTGGGCCATGGCGTTGAAGATGTTACTCGAGAAGGCATACTCGTTGATTAACTGTGGTTGACGATGCTGTTTCTCGAATCTTCTGTTCCCAGTTCCAGTTGACGATAACGGCCTCAGCTCAGGGCGGGGCGGGGCGGGAGGGGCAAGAGTTGTCGCAATTTGTGAATAGCCACCGGAGAGAGAGAGAAGCTCGCAACCCCTGGCCGGAGAAGCATTCTACTCGACTCTACTCTAGAATCTCTCCTCGTATACTGTAGTATAGAGAGAAACAAGTAGAATCACGATCAAGGCCCCACGCATCAGTTTGTTCCCAGAGACTGTAGCCCAATGAATGTACTGCACACGACCATTCCTCTTTGAGCTGCCGCGCGGGAGGCCCACAGCCAATCCACAAGCGCTTCAGCATCTCTGGTGTGATATGGATCTGCTCCCAGGGGGCCTGCCATGTGCCTTGGTGCCCTGTGGCTGTCGTCAGAACCTTAATTTTCAGTGCTCGAGCTGCCGGCTTCGACTGCCGAGGTCTTTTTCGAATGGCGCTGACAAGAGAGGTCTTAGAAATTCAGCCCCCAAAGCCGACTTCTGCAATGAGGCTCAACGAGCGCCGAGAACTATAACAATTTTGTTTCAGCCACACGTATAGTCTGACAATGGCAGATGGATAGACCAACAGAGTACAGCATTTGGTGACGGTGTCAACAGTATACTTAGAGCTGCGACGTTTTGGTTTCACTCTGCTGGAGTTGACGCTGCATCGCAGGAGGTGAGGAGTTGCTAATTGCGGCGACCCACACTGGCGTCCCAGACTGCTTCATGCAACCGGATATCAGCCGGTCACAAAATATCTCTCGTATGTGCGTGCCCCATGTTGAGAAACTCGTAAACAGCAGGATTCGCTATCGTCAGCGCAGGAGAAGACAATGATTACTGAAGATCTCGCGAATGGTTACTTCATCACTGTTCTTGCACTGCTCCTGGCTGACGAATCCGATGTTGGTTTTTCTCTGGGTGTAATCCTTAGGAACCAACCCCAGGCCTGTCACTAGGTACCTATCGGAGTTTACCTGTGGCAACGAGGGGCACCGCGTAACCCAGCCCTGGACCTCGAGGTCGTGTGTGCCCCCCCTGATTGCGATAGGCCTTTAGATTAGCGCTGTTCCCCCTCCTTCTTGGCCTGCTACCCGACCTAGGGGGTTCTAGAAAGCCCTACTGCAGCTGCTGCAGCTGCTGCCGTCTGTTGATTCTGTTTAGTTGTTCGTGCCAGGATGCGCATCCCAACCCCGAACAAATGCAGCTGAGAGAGCACTTCGAGGTAAAGAATAACGCCAATTGCTTCAAATTCAAACATGCAAAGATATGTCTCAATCCAGCAGAGACGCTCCGAAATCCTCGTCATACTGCTTTCAAAATCTGAAAAGCATCATGCTCGTCCAGGATCTTTCCTCGCGGTGCTGACAAGACCCATGATAACTTGCTTCGTAATGTCGAGGCCACTGCCACCGCTCGAATAGACCCGTATACCCGTATATCCGACCTGTTGCGGTGTCATGGACTCCCCCATCTCGAGATGATCTTCCGCGGCGACACTCAGTCCCGATCTGATTGATTGAAGCCCCGAGCAGTGGAGACAGGCACAGCAGAAGATGCAAGGCTTGGGCCATGGTCCCAGGCGCCCCGCGCGGTTCCTCTCAGGTGGTTTCTATTGTGAACCGTGAGTCTTGATTGTAAGCAATATGATGACTTGTTAAACGGGTGGGGTTGAGTGTCTATGGGTGTTGAAGACAACTCCTACAGTTGAACACAGTAACGAAGTCTAGTCTAGTCTAGCCCAACGTTGTCCTGAACCTTGTTACCCGAGTGAGTGCTTGGTTGGTCTGAGTAGAGTTGACGCCAAAGCCTCGACACTGTGAGGAGAATTGGCCCATTGCACGTATAGCTGACCTTTCCATCGAGACGCAGAACTTCTCAACGCGCGCCGCAAAGTCGAAGAAGCATGCGAGTCCCACAGAGCGCAGGGTCGCCTTAATCGCCACCACAGCTTGCGACACAATTGTAGCATCCTAGCCTCAGCCCCCCAAGCCTCACCTCGGACCTCCGAGCTTCCTTCCGACCACAGACTTCACATTTAAAAAGGGAAAACGTCACACATAGAATCAATGCATGCCATATCAATGTTTCATGTCCCTCTGTTCTTAGGACTGTATATACTAGCTATCGCTCAAGCTATTTACGATCTGCTACACGGAGAATAATGCGGGGATCCCTTTCTTTCCTTGAAGGGCCCAGTTCTGAAAAGCGATTGCAAAGTTGCCTCCCTGAAAAAGAAAAACATCAAAACGCCAGTTGGGAACCTGACCTGTAAGTAGGTCCCTCTCAATGGGGGGGCTCTCTTTTTCTAAACCGAGACCATGCAATTTTTTGTTTTTCCCTTGCCCTTGCTGTTTTCATGACGATGGGGTTGGGAATGATGGGATGCATGAAAAGCCTTGTTGTTTTTGTTTTCAAAGCTGCTCCTCCCTTTCACTTATAGAAAGGACTTCCTGATGCTTGCGCCGACACGATCTAGTGTGCGTGGTATAAATAAGGTAATATGAACGGGAAAAGGCCTGCCTGCCCAAGTGGATGATGTGCGTTTCAGGGCTACCGCGGGTCGAGATCAATCGTCTCACAAGACGTGGGGGGGGTTGAATGTGCAAGACATTACCACGTCTCGGCGGTGTACTGGCCAACTTCCTTCTTGAGCTGCCAGAACTTCTTCGCCTCCTCTCGCCCCAGGTTGCCCTTCTCCATGGCCACCTCGACGAGAGCCTCCTCGACGCCCTCGCCCATGCCCTTGGTACTGCCGCAGACGAAGACCCTACCGTCGACCGAGTTGATGATGTACCACACGAGGTCCGCCTGGTGCTTGACCTCCTCCTGGACGTAGCGGCCCTCGCCGCGCCGGCTCTGCACGACCCGCTTGACCTCGTCCTCGTGGACGCCCCACTCGCCGCTGTACAGCTCGTCGACCAGGGAGTCGCGGACGCCCTGCAGGACCCAGACCTTGTTGGCGCAGTTGGCCGTCTTGAGGCGGCGCTGGACGAAGCCGCGGAAGGGGGCGATGCCGACACCGGCGCCGATGAGCAGCATGGGGCCGTCGGACACGAATTGCTTGGCGAGGGGGTTGGCCATCAGGCCCTTGAACATGGGGATGTAGATCTGGCGCTCCTTCTCGCCGTTCTTCTGCCTCTCGATGAACTCGAGCGCCTGGCGCTGGAAGAAGCCCGATCCGATGCCGGCGCGCTTTCCGGTTCGCCAGTCGGCTGTCTCGTGAACGGTGACGGCGATCTCGATCAGACGATGCTGCTTGCCGTCGAGAGTCTCATACGACTCGTGGGGGTCGTTGGAGAGGGAGTAGAAGCGCGGCATGACAGGCTGCAGGGCGGAGAGAAGGAGATCCAGGGGAGGCTTGGCGCTGGGGAACGCATGCAGAAGCTGCGAGAGCGTGATGTGGGGTCCGGTTCTGAAGTCGCAGAAGACGCCTTGACCCTCGGCGGCGCAAAGGAAGAACAGCAGCTTCCTCTCGTTCTCGTCGGTCGCATACTCTGCAAGAATGCGAAGCAGATTCTTGGTGGGCGCATACGACTGGATGTCTGAGCACCAGGTCAGCAGGTCTCGGCGAGTGGTGACCAGCTCTCGAGCCTGATCAGCGCCCCAGACAGTTGGCCAGCGGCCCTTGGTTGTGCGCAAAAGGACTGGCTTGTCACGAATGAATCGCGGGATCAGCAGAAGATCCAGGATCTCGTCGACCATAGAAGCCTCGTTCGGGGCAGACACGCCAATAGCGCCGCCGACCTTGAAGTCAATGCCTTCGCCATCTGGGTAGTCTGTGACGTCGAGGTCAAAGTGGAAGGTGCGCTTCTCGGCACCTGGGCGCGTCAATTCTCGAGTATTGTGAATGCGCGCGGGGAAGACATGATATGGAGGGTGGGGTTGGACGAAGGACGGCGGCTGGATCTTGGTGTCGAGGTCTTCGAGCTTGAGCTCCTGGAGGGTGGTCTGCGCCTGCTTGGCGAGGGCCTCCAGGTCTGCGTCGTTCTCTAGGCCGATAGCCGAGTCTGTGGGTGAGGGGATGGTAGAGGGCCGTCGCAGAGGCTGTAGGAAGGCCGTCTGCTCAGGTAGGTCGGGGATGTTGGTCAATTCTGTAGGCACCTCGTCGATCTTGAGGCAAAGTGACTTGAATGCGTCATTGTCGGGAAACTCGACATGCTCGTACTGAATGCCCTCCTTTCTCTTGCCGGCCTTGAGACAGCAGCCTCCGCCACAACACCTCTCGACTAATTGAGCTGTAGATTCTCCAGTGATCCGCTGCACGTCCTCTGCATTTCGAGCGACCAGTCGTGTGGACGCGCGGCGGCGTCGAGGCTCGGCAGCGGGGTCCTCCACATCTTGCTCGTCGGCCGACTCAGAAAAAGTGAGGGAGGGCGCAACAGAGGCAATAGAAGGTGCACGAGGGGTCTGGGGTATGGAATTTGCTGTGTGCTCAGCAAGGAGCTGGGCTATTTGGGCGTGCATCTTGCTGTCGTGGTTGTTGTCGTCGTCCTGGGGAGGTTTGGAGTGGACGAAGTGGGTGGTGGAGGGGGTCGTCGTGGGGATCGAGGTGCGACCGTAGACTTGGGTGTGGGCGAGATGAAGTGGTGATGATGAAGGTGAGGGTGAAGTGATGGGAGTGTTAACAAGCCGCTGGATGCATGACCGAGTCTGTGGTCGAACCAATTTATGCCAAAGATGGGACGAAGGGTGAGCCACTGTCGAGTAAGCTTTTGTCGTCGTTTGTCGTCTGTCGTCGTCGTCTGAAGTAGGTAGGTAGGTGGATTTGGGTATTGTGTGGTGTGAGAGAGCGCACACAATAAGTTTAGGTAAGAATGGCCAAATCAATTACCAAAGGCACAAGCACAAACACAACAACAATGATGATAATGATCAGTGAATGGAATTGGGATCGTGAGAGTTGTGTGTGGGCTTGAAGTGAAGTGAAGTGAAGAGAAGAGAAGCAGGTCGATGAGAGGGGAGTGGAGGGTTGGAAGCCCGGAGAGGCCAGAAGAGGGCTGTGGATGGCTTTTTGGCTGATTGCTTAATTGATTTGACTGGGATGACCTAATGATTGAATGATCGGCTGGGGATGACAGCACAGGCGCAGGGCTACTCCGTTAGGTTGGGCAAAGATGGCATGGGGAGGGGGCCGACTGGGATAGCCTCTGATTGATTGATTGATTGATAGCAGCAAAGCAGGGCTTGGAGGGCGGAGGGCGATGAGCAAAGAATTGCCGTTTATTACCTCAACGAATTCCGGCACGATGCCACTGCACTGTGTACTAAAATGCTGGTCTGGTTATCTGCGACTCCCGAAGCCGGTCGACGCCGACGCCGACTTGCAGGGCAGCCCAGGCCCCAGGGAGATAGCAGGCGAATGCCCCCTTCTACTCTACTATGCAGTAGGTCCTTCCAGGTTGTGGATTGCAGATTGGCCGCCTCTTGCTGGTTGCGTGGCTTTTGGACCGGGACTACGCAGCAGAGCACAGTACTGCATAGTAGGCAGCTTGCGAACCGGATGTCGTGTCCGGGCAGTCGTCTGCTTCTCTCTTCTGGTTCAGTTCTTCAGTAGCGCATTTCCTTGGAAAATGGGCCAACGTGTGGACCCGGGCCAGGGATATCGATGCTATACTAGGTAGGCTTCCTTCTGGGTCCTGGCGAGCCTGGGTCTTGGATCTTCTGGGGCGGGCGAGACATGCATTTCCCACGGCGGCCAAATACGGTACAGTTCGATCAGATAACTCGAGGCTCAAAGAGTCAGGCCCAGCTCCAGTCAGCAATCTGCGCTGGGCACCCCCTGTCCCCTGTCGGCCGCGCGCGCTGAGGTGGGACGCGGCTTTGCACAGCGTCACTCATAATCTCGTCTCACCGCGTCCCGTAGGTACATGTAATCATTTGCTCAGCTCGTTCTTGGCTGAGCCCTCCCCGTGTGTCTTTCGATTTGTTCTCTTATGAGGGCACAGTGTGTTGGGCGACCAAGGTGGCGGCAATTGGCCGGGCCTTTGCACCCAAATGGGGAAGACTAACCCAGGACTCCAGGACTAATTGACTGAATCGCCACCTCACATTGGCCGCCGCGCCCCCTTTACGATGTTACCAGCGGCCAGTTACCGAGCAGCCTTTTTTCTGGGTCGGCTTTCCACTTCTTCATGCAGCACGTCGAAACTCTCCGGCTTGTCTTTCCCCAGATAAACACTCCCTCGGGACAGACAGGAGAAACGCATCAGGCGTCTTCATTTCAATCCTGATCCTCCTCTCCATGCCAGGGCTATCCTGCCTTTCCACCGGTCTAGGGATGAGAAATGGGCCAAGGCGCTCGGGAAGGAGAGGATAAAAATCAGCCCACCTCGTACGGTCCCGGTCCGAGGTTGACCGCTGCTTCGAATGACTTGACTGTCTGATTGACTGACTGACTGAGAGGGAATGCCAGGGAGCTGCGCCCGGCCCAACATTTTCCTTTTTATCTCTCAAGAGTCGGAAGTCTTACGCGGTCAGGAACGCGGACCGGGGGCCTGTGAAACAAGAAACAAAGAGACATCACAGGCAGAAAGAAGCAATCTCGTTACACGAGGCAGTGAGTGGATGCGCTGCGTCTCGGATGCAATCCGCCAATTCCATTAGGAGAGTACAGTAAACCATAGGAAGCAATGGCACAAGCAAAAGCTGCCCCCTAGAATTCAGAAATTCGGCTCGGTTGTTTTCCTCGGTTGGAAACGGCAGGGGTACCGACAGCCGGGTGGCTCGCCCGTGTGGGATGTGGGAAGGGAAGGAAAAAAAAGTCTGTCGTAATCTTATCTAATGATGGCGATCTAATCAATCCCATCACTCCTTTATCAATCTACCGCGCAGCAATGTCCGACATCGGCCCTTCTCCTGGCCTCCTATTCAACAGGCACGGCGGCTGCATTCCCACTGGCTGCTTCGATCTGATAATTTCTCTTGGCAAAACTATGACAGCACCGGGTTATCTCTAAGGTTTCGAACTGTGTCTTTACTGTGTACCTGAGGAGCTCCCAGCAGTTTCAGGCAGGGTCCCCCGGCCGAGGTTCCTTGTGGTTGGGATTTAGGAGTGTTTTGTTGTCGGCCGAGGGGGAGGGAGTCCGACCCTGCTTCTCCCGGACGCGTCCGCCGGCCACGGCGCGAGCCTCCTGCATGATCTCGTAGTCTCAGCCTTTAAGTGGTTTATATGCTCGGGCGAAGGCAGCCGGAGAACCGGCGGTCGTGGGTGCTCGTGACAACTTGCATCTTTGATATTTGTTGTCAATGTCGTGCTCGCAAACCCATGTCGGCCGGAGAGACGCGATGTCATATCCAGCGGTTATCATTGGAAGACATCGCAGTCGACTAGGTCTAAACTGCCGCTACAGAAGGAGGGCCACTGACGTGCATGAAGCCGACGGCTATTCGTCCTTGTCTCCTTACGCTACGGCCAAGTAGTCTGCATGTAAGCCTGGTGAGGAGTCACTCGACCTTCAACCGGCTATCCAGCATTGGATTCGACCTACGCCGCCAGCATCGATTGTTTGCGGCGCAAAAGATCCATGGCCCCTCCACGCACTGCAATTCAAGAGCGCACTGGTCTGAAGTTTGTCTCTTTCTGATCTACCATAGCGGGCTCCTGTGGATCATCAAGCGTAGATAGACTTGATTATGCATCTGAAATCCCTCCCTTGCTAATCGTCACGCTGTATGGGTGACGACCTCCGGAGTTCTATTCGACCATGAGCAGCCTTGTAGGCAATAGGCGAGCCTGGTAGTGCCGCGACCATTAGAGGCAGGAGATAGCAAATCGATGGATAACCTGATATTACCCAGTCTTTTCCATCATATGACGTGTATGTCTCAACCTCTAATTCGGTAGCGAAATCAGAGCATATGTCCCGAATAGCAACCCTATCTTTGCCCACTGCTGCTGCCAGAGGGATGTACTTGATAAGCGAGCGGGGAGAACGGTCAGTGCTATGGCTGTAAGAGAGCTCCGTCCAGCGTCTGCTTCTAAACCTTGCACAGAAGTCCAGGATTTCCATATCTCTGCGAATGGTGCGGCTGACCATCATCGACCGGGTGCTTTCCGGTAAAATCGAAAGAAAGATTTGTGCGATGTGGAATCGAGTATCTTCGTCGACGCTAGGGTGCTCTTCACAAGCGATCAGGGCTTCGAGGAGGCCAGCGCTTTCGATATCCATGAGATATCGGTGTTTTTGCCCAATTACGCTCATTGGTAGTGGATGAAAGCCGTTGAGATCAAGATAATGTCCTGCCCACGGTCTACAGATCTTTTCGAAAAGTCGTACCCGGTCGGAATCTTGTTCAATAAAACGCGGCCCGAGAGCAGTGAGCAGGAGGAGACCAGGTATGTGATTGGCCGGAGATCTTCCATAATCAACGTGATGAACCCCATGGAGAATTAATGCCAGGCATAATGCAGTTGGCATGACAGCATCATCCACAGAGTGAACAAGAGTCTTCCTCGGAGGAAGAGGCGTCACGTCTTCAGCTGGATCGAGCGGCGACAATCGGGGCTTATGAATACCAGATTCATCAAGCCAATTATTCAGATCTGTAAAAATCCGTTGCTTGTCAGGAGCAACGTAGTAGGATGCGATGTCTGCGCTACTGATGTGCGGCGCTTTCAGCGGCCATCGGTATATCCAACGGAGAATTGATTCTGTCCTTGGATTCGGCCCACCAAAGAAGGAATCGTTGGGAAGATCCAGTGGTATCCAATCTGACACCATTCTCTGTATTGCTTGACGTGAGGCATCATCCTCGAAGAGACTATCAGCCGATTTGATATAGCTGAAAATGTCCCGTGCGAGCGGCATTAAAGGTGGAAAAGGGGGATGACGTTTCGCGATAGATTTGTATATGAAAAAATTGCCATCAAGTTGGGTCCAGTGTCGTTTGTTTGAGATAAGATCCAAGCCAGAAAGTCCTCTAATCACAAACTCTTGAGCCGTTTGGTGAACGAACTGAACGTAAGACTCGAGATCAGTCGAAGCTAACTCAATGAGCCCACCGGTTCGGCTTCGGAGCCAGGCGAGTTGTTCTTGTTTCGTTGCCTCGGGTAACCCTACACTGTACGTAGTGGTACATGAGATTGTCGCGCAGTATAGAGTTTCTAGAGTAAGCAGTGAACGGCTGGCAAGAAGGATGCGAAGCGACACAAGTGCTTCGAGGGCATATTCTTTCGGTATTCTCTTTAGAGTGAATTCGTACAGGTTACTCAGTTCATCAGGAAGGCTCGTCAGATATGCCTGAAGATGAGAATATGGAGTGCCGTCAATAATGTTTTGGTAGAGGTAGTCAACGACAAGTCGGACCCAAATAAACACGCCATGGGCCTTACTGGCGATTATTTCTATCCAGTGTTCGACATCTTTCTTGAAGGTTTCTCGCTCTGATATTGCAGATGACAACCGTGACCTGCAGTATAGGTGGATATCTTCCTTTGTGTGATCGTGAATAGCAAAACTAAGGACCCTTTTCTCGTCGCCCAATTGTTTCTGAAAGATAGGCCAGGGCCGGCTTGCCAGGCAGATTTTCAAGATAGGGCCAACCCCTGGATGGAAAATCGAGTTCGAGTAAAATTCTGCGAGCTCCTTCAAAATAGAAATAACCTCATTATTTTCGGACTGGTCTTCATTCTCGTCTAGAGCATCAATAAAGAGAATGAGCCTAGTACGGCTGTGTTCGGGTTGTGAACCTTTCCACCGTTCAAATAGCGAGCCTTTTTGAGCCTGTAAGAAGAGAGGTATAAGCAGAACACATTGTTTCAAGATCTCTGTGCTCCATTCCAGCCTTTTGTTGCGTGATACTCTTAGTAGGTCTGTGTAGATCTCTTTGATTGAAAGGAAGTATTCGGGGAATTGAGTCAAGACTTGGAATGTTATCTCAAGAAGCATCCCATTCAGGCTCTTTTGAACGCGAGACTTTCCTCGAAGATGGAAGAAATACGCCACTGGATCTCCAAATCCATCGGGAAGGAGCTTTAGTGTTCGCGGATCTTGCATGGCAAATCGCATAAGAGTCGATTTGCCGGAACCCGGCTTGCCTGTAATCCAGAAGACTGGACTAAACTCATTCTTGTCATCCTCCAGCCAACGGCAAAAGTCAACTTCGTCGCTGAAAAGCCATTCAAAGCTGTTCTTGTGTTGTTGCGATACTTGTTGTACCCTTGCTCTAGCGCTGGGATCGTCGAGGCTTTCTAGACATTCTGTTGCTATTCAGCCACCATTCTCTTTAGCCCATAAAAACAGCATAGACATTCTTACCCTTATAGCCTTGTAGCAGGAATCCTTGGTTACGACTTATTAGCACCTGTCTTGAGATGTAGCCACTTGACTTACTCTTATCATCCTCCTCAATACCAACAATCCAACGCTTGACTACATTGCTGACCTTCATGAAGCCAGGGTCAGTATTTGATTTGAATTTCGCCATATACCGATGGTTTTCGGGTATCCCTCCCCAGTCCTCATGCCCTATTCTTGCGCATTCAGGCGGGACAATACGCATCCCAAAGATTGCTTTCCGTGTCTCCTTTTCCTCGAAGAAAGAGAACAAATGGATGTTCTTGTATTTCTTCAAAGTCTCGTGGAAGGTGGAACTGATCCTGTCAAGGGTCTCGGAATTTTTTTCAAGGGCACGCAAAAGCTGGGTGTTGGCGCTCTGTCCTGCGAACACCTTGGTAAGAAGAAATGCCATCTTCCCATAGGACGCAACTGCAGAGCCTCGGTGAGGCGTTCCGAGGAAGATGACACCATAAGTCAGTTCTGCAACCTGTTTAGTACGCCTGTTTTCCGTCCCCGAGGATTGGTTCAACGCCTAATTCCTTAGCTTCACTAAAAACATGGTCAAGGGGATGCAGTATGGTCTTACCTCTTTGAGAACAAGACCTCCAAGACTATGCACAATAAATATGAAAGGGATTTTGGTATCATATTTATCGAACAGATCGCATAGGTCGTTCAAGAGATTTCGGCCATGTTGATGGACAGTGTTCAAACCAGCTGCTGACATGAATCGTTCAACATCCGCATCGTACCCAAAGCTATATATCCGGGCATTAGGCACGGCACTTGGTAGGAGGTCTTCTGGCCAGAAGGGCTTCTTTGTGCCTCTAACACCCTCATCTGCCCAGGTCTTCCAAGGGTGTCCAAAGAGGCCATGGATAAAGACGATATTTGCGCTTGGGATTTGCGAATCCTTTCCATATAGAGGTGGAACATAAACCTCATTCATTCCAATCTGATACTTCATCTTGAGACTTTCCGCCATCTTGACGAGCAAGCAAGCATGACGACTCCGTCACAGCCAAAGGCAGCCTTACTAGGTTGCCCGCTAGATATCACACAGTGTTGCAAGGATGCACATTCCTCTAGAACCTTGAGGAAGTCATCAGACTTTGGAAAAAGATAGACCGTAAGTGAGGTCGCCTTGTGAATTTGATAGAGCATTGAGCAGGAGCAAAGTTGGATGAAGTAACGATAGGTGAGGCTGAGGAAGGCGATGCGTGGCTGCCTGAGGGGTTTACTTGCCCGCCACCTGTTTATCTCAATATTCACTGACTCCCTTCGACATCAAGTAGTTATTCCGGACATGACAGAGCACGCAGTATATTCATGTCCCAAATTTGAAGTAAGAAGCAATGCTAATCCATATGTTCTGCATGGGTTACATTTCAAGAGAGTAAACAGATGCTGCTCAGATTCCCGGTCCGAGAGGACTTTTCAGCGGCTGCCACATTTGGCACATGGCGTAGCTGCGACAGTTGAGTTGTGTGACAAACAGCGGATCTCCCAATTGCTTAGATGCTTAAAAGAGATTGTCTAAGTTGAAGCCTGTAAATCGTCATGAGATGTATTGAAGGCGAATTTTCTTTTGTGAGAGAAAGAACAGCCAGTATTTAATTTTGGCCAGGTTGATCACAGCGTTTCCATGCCGCCAGTGATTAAAGTGCTATTCCAGATGACCGCTTCATTGGAGTTTACATGCAGCCCATTAATAGGTGTGGACACCTAAATGCTGGAAGTTAAGCCTTCTCGGCATTCAGATCCAAGCGTTGCTAATCAAGTATTCGGAAAGCTTCAATAGGCCCCAGCCAGTTCTGTGTGGGCGTTACTTAGAAGCACTGAGCTTTGATGGCTGAACTTGCCAATGACCTGCTGTGCCAACAGGGGCTGTCTCGATGTCTCAGAAGCTGGCGGGTCGGTTGGTGCTCTGTTCCAGAAGGTTGTGCTCCGCAACATGCTAACGCCTTGGCGGCCCGGGTATCTTGCATCAGCTCAGGCCCGGTGGAGTGAGCAATGTCATAGAGGGCAAGTTGAAGCTAAGCATAAATTGACAGGCGGTAATTCTTGCCTTCAATCAGTTATCGGCGCTTCTGGAGTGGACGACTCGCATCGATGGGGACGAATGCTGCAGACAGCTTGGCATTCCAACACGGAGGCTAGCAGTTTCCTCTGTGCGTCCTGCAACTTCGTTTGTTTGGGTATTTCTTCCCCGTTCAAGGATTGATTCTTCCGTCCACGCAACCCGCACGCAACTCTTGACTTAACCAGCTGATGAAATGATGCATTGAGCTTGGCAAGCTGTGCTCTAGGCCCGGAATGAATCCAGCAGTCCCAAGGAATTGATGACTAGAATGAGCTTGTTTCTAAGGAAGCAGTGGAGTTGCCGGGTTGCTCTATCCGACGGTTTTCTAAGCTTCTACATGATCTAAATGTGACCGCTGCCCGAATTGCCGAGTGTTCTCAGTTGTATGGCTTCTCTTCAAACCGGCACTGAACGCAACGGCATTCGGGGAAGGCGGTAGATCATTATATTCTAAGCTTTGATCTTCTTAGGAAGACACAACTTAAGTGTTCAAATGCACATAAACTCTAGCCATCGACTAACCCTGCACATGCGAAAACTTGGGATGAAGTGGCTGTAGAGCTGAACAGGTCTCCCGTCGAGAAGCACCCAACTCTTGTGAAAGGCAATTCCGAAGTATAGTAAGCAGTGTCCTGCAGCGCGAGAGACCCATCCTGGCTTTCTCCCTCTTAGTTGTCTGAGATATTGAGGCTGTTTGGAGGTGGCGCTGAAATGCGGCTGCGGGACAGCTGCTCGAAGGGGTGGGCACGGATCCCGTCCCCCTGAGGATCTGTTAGTAAGTGCTAACGTCAGTGCTAGCTTTGCTGATCCCTTTGCTATGGCTTGCTACAGAATGCGGGCAACTCGCTATCAGTCTGACCGTTTCAGGCGGTATAGGAATAACAACCTCCTGAGAATTCTGAGACTGCTGGACAGTGGTGGTCGCAGCCGTGTTTGAAGCGCGGCTGTGGCCGATCCCGACTCCTTAACCCGGCCTTGTTTCAGATCTCCAAGTCACAGCACTTCCGCTCCCAGATTCACTGGAGATCGTCACAAGTGCCAAACCCCCAATAGAAGCCGCCGGCCACTCCCAGCTCCGATCCATGGCAGCTTGCAGGGCGGCCTTGTCTTTGTGCAGCTGCCGGTTGTAGGTCTAGTACCTTGCATCTCGTCATGTCTCGTCTTTGGCTAGCACTGCGATGTCTCCTGCCACACATGGTTTGGCGGCGGCTCTTGCTGTCCCCTGCTACGGGACCGAGAGCAGAGACCGGGTAGTGTAGCAGATAGTTGTTGTCTGGACTCGAGCTCTCTTGTTTCTCAGGACAATACATTCTCTTATCCTCTCCAGCCCGATCCGACTGTCAGCGTTTTAGAGTTGTTTTTCATATCCTCTTTGCCCAATATTGTTTGTGCTTCATTTGATGTTTTCTTTCCTTCTCTCTCTTCTTACGTTTCCTCGAATCAGTTCCACTTCATAGTTGGCCTCAACGATGTACGCGTTGTAGACCGGCTGTAAGAGAACGGAAAAGCAGCTACTTGATCGAGAAAGGCGTTCAAAGCTGGATCATCATATACTTTCCGAGCTTGGTCTTTTCTCTGCTGTCGATCTTGTTCTGCCCCTTCGATGGCAGCTGTTCTCAAGCATTTTCATTCCCAGAATCGCTCGACCGGCCGAGCTTCCTTTGCACCTGTCTTTATCTCTCTAACTGCATCTCGTGGTTCCGCAGGATATCTTTTTGGGGCGACGAAAGTGAAGAATTATCAATTACGTGTCTAGGACAATCGTGCATCATTCAAGAGCAAACCTTTCAGGAAGGACTTGTGTAGGAAGGTATCTACGCCGGATCTCCTCCAATGTCCACCAATTCTTCCGTTCTCTTTGGGAGATACTTCAACATGGATTCAACTATTGAGTTCATCCCGCCCACCGCGCTGGTGGTGCAGAGCAAACATCTCAGCTATTACATCGCTTTCGGTGCTGCGCTATTAGTCGCCTACCTCTTCCAGTCTGTACAGTCAACCAAGTCAAGACAAGTCGAGGCGCCATTTTACAAAGCTTCCAAAATGAAATGGATGTTCGATGCAGAGAACCTTGTTCGCGATAGTTACAACAAGGTAAACATTAGATAAATTAAACTAAGGCTTAATATGCTAATGGGCGGGATCAGTTCTATGACAAAGTATATAAGATCAAAGCAACAGAGGGTGTTCAAGTCTTAATTCCTCCCAAGCTTATTGGCGAATTGAAAGGACTACCTGAAGAAATCCTGAGCGCTCAGGAGGCCGTCAGTGAGGTGAGCTCAACCTGCGATGCTGGCATATACCTTCCGTCGTCTCTAATATAATGATAGGCGTTAATGAGCAAATACACCCATTTCTGTCCCGGCCAAAACGGAGAATTGTTGTCAGCTTTGGTCAGGACAAAACTGACCCAAAATCTCGCCCGCTTGATACCAACGTTGAAAGCCGAGATTGAGTATACAACAGCGACCGAATTTCCCGAATGTGAGGACTGGACGGCCGTGAAGGTGCAACCGTTTGCACTGAGAGCCATTGCGAGAACGAGTGGCAGAGCCTTTGTCGGCCCGTCGATCAACCGCAGCGAACCGTGGATGGACACAAGCATCAACTTCGCCATCCACGTCTTCGTAGCTGTTGTGAAGCTGCAGTTCTTTCCAGCTTGGCTGCGACCAATCGGGCGATTTTTCGTGTCAGACCTCAAGCAAATCCAGAAAGATATCGCCAGAGCACAGGACATCTTACAACCCCAGATCGAGGAGCGTCTTCGGGATATGGAGATCCCTGGATATCAAGGACCTGACGACCTTATTCAGTGGCTCCTAGATACCCTTCCAGAAAAAGGGAGGACCGATTTTAGAGCTCAGACGGAACTGCAGTTGATTCTGAGCGCAGCATCCATACACACAACAAACAACTTACTTGTCGATTGCATTTACGATTTGGCAACAGATCCAGAAATACAAGATGAGTTGCGTCAAGAAGCAATCAACGTTTTAGAAGGTGAAGATAACGGGTGGGCGAGGAAGGACAGCATGGCGAAGCTAAAGAAGATGGACAGTTTCATGAAAGAGGTGCAAAGAATATCAGGCAACGTCACCGGTTTCATCCGCAAGGTCATCCAACCCATCAAGCTGTCCGATGGCACGTACCTACCTCCTGGCACGAAAATCCTGGCTCCCCAGGCCGGGGTTTCCCACGACGAGCGATACTACCCTTCGCCGGACGAGTTTGATCCTTTGCGCTTCTATAAGATGCGTCAGAGATCTGAGGAAGACTGCAACCGGTGGCAGTTCTCGTCGATCAATGACACGAACATGAACTTTGGCGCCGGCAAACATGCTTGCCCAGGACGCTTCTTCGCTGGTAACGAGATCAAGATGATTCTTGCATACTTTCTCATCAACTTTGAGTTCAAGCTCAAGGACGGTGAGGAGCGACCGAAACCTATGATGATCATGATGTCAAAGACTCCGAACCCAAATGGGGAAATCATGTTTAAAAGACGAAGCGTTAAATCATGATGGGCTCTCCCATAGTGTTCATGCTCTAGAGTAGATCACGAACTACGAACAGCATCAGAACGATAGAAAAGAAAAGCTTTTTAGAGCTGGTGTCGGGACTTTGGGGCCTGGAGCTCCCTGGCCTTTTTATAACTGTATATAATCAATGTACATATGATCTTGGAATTAGGGTCGGAAATCTGGGAGGCTAAAGTCCGGACTTCAGTCCACATCAACGACAGAACTTGTCGTTCAAAGGCAGGCATATGCCGCCAATATAACAAAATTTACGTGTTCAGACTTCCCAGTGCCCGTCTTAGTTTGCCTACGGTGGTGGGTCCTGCAGTGACCTGACCTCAATCCCTAGACGTCTTTGTGAGCCATAAGAGATCGGAAACACAAGAGCTATATGCAGCCTTACCAACAAAATCGTAACAACCTAGGATGCCATCAACATTGGTAATAATCGAGTCTTTACACTGAATTAACATGTATACTTGGTAACCGTCTCTTTCCTGAACTCACTTAGATCTAGTGTTGAGCTCACTGGTCCACCGAATGTTCTCGAGCAATTACAGGTCAAGTTGCTGTTCACTTTTGTGCATGAAGCACATGAAAATAGCGCACCACCGCTTTAGACAGGCCGTCAGCAAACAAGGAGATCAAACAGGTTATTGCTGAGGTCGTCTACCTGCCTTGGTTTGCCTGATAGCACGCCTTCTGAATTCGTCACGCAATCATCTATGTCGATGAATGACGCATGCAGAACGCCGTTGTGATCCGGGCAAGAAGCGGCCATGAACTGATTGTATCCTCCAAAACCAAGGATCCAGTCTGCAGAGCAATTGGCGTAGAATCCCTGGGCGGTGATCGAAGCTGAGGCGAAAGCGAAGAAAAAGAGAAGGCTAGACATCGCCGCAAACGCTGATCGTCCCAAAGCTGTGAGTGAACAAGTTGGTCTCATCAAAGTGAGTAGATCTCAGACGGGCTAGAACGTGAACATACAAGCATCCGTTGATTCGGAGTATGAAGTCTCAGATAGGAAAACTACGTAGCTCGGCTGATGCACATTTGGTGACTTGTAGAACATAGCGCACTCAACCCAATGGCCGATCACCTCCACCTCCGTCTTGAGCGCAGGCAGCAAGCAGCATTCGCAGCGCATGACCTGTGCTTTCAATATGCGGATATTGCAGCTGCATAACATAGCGTTCCTGCGTCAATTTGAGGATTTACTGTGGTTGGATGTTCATCCTGGGGTAAATCGGCTAAAGGGGGGAGAGTGTGTTGAAAGGGGGCGATATGACCAAGATCCTGAGTTAGTTTTGCTGAGTAATAATGAGTGCTCGGCGGTATGTGTAGTACTAGCAGAAAATCCCTCGCACCATATCAAGAAATGATTGAGATTTACTTTGTAGTATAGCGGTGTACAGTGAAAATGTAAACACGTTAGCAGCAAGTCACTATTTTGAAGGCTCAATTCATCTGCCAGACGGCCTCTAGGGCGAATAATGAACGTATGCGGCTTCATAGCCACTGCTCTGAGATTCATGATACTATACTTTCAAGCAGCCTGCCTAGATTAATTGAGAATAATATCAATAGCTTCATGATCGTTGTAAGTCGCGACAGCGCTCACTCTACGCAGAGGCGCACTCGTTGGCTTTCATCAAGGATTACGGTTTCTATGACATCACGGCCTCCTGGCTGATGCAGATTCAGGCAAGGGGCAGTCAAAATTATACATGGACCACTCATACTGGTCCTCTTCAATGTTGGGAAAACAAGAGGTTAAGACGGATGCAAACCGTGTAATATGATTGGTCCAAACACGTCCTACCGCAATTTTTGTTTCTGGATATGCGAGTGACTTCGGAGGACGCGTCTGCCATTTGAAATTTGAAAAGAAAAGTTCTCGGCGTCCAAGAGCCGTAACAACATGATGGGCTAGCTGAGCTTTGTAGTAGGATTTAGTATCAGGTATGTGCACTGCGGTGGTTCGATGTTGGCTAGGTGTCTTTGTGGATGCCTTGCAGACAGTTTACTTCACTCTAACTAGGATATCCAGCTGCCTTTATCGCCATCTTGTCGATCTCACTGTATATTACGACCTAAATATTGAGTCTTCGGACCAGCAGAGTGCACGCATTTCAGTGAGGACAGAGATCTAAGTCGGTTTGGTATGACTTCATAACTTCCCTCTAGTTCAGTTGCCTCCAGTTCCTCCATCACTCAGCTACGTCCATTTGAAGTCCGTGCTCCTAGGATTGCTACTTGGAGGATAGCTTAGCGGTCGAGTAGTGGCATACTCTATCGCACCACTGACATGAAGGCGTAGGTACACGGGATGGCAATTTCTCCTAAGATTTCTACCAATCCCTTTTCACAAATAGTCCTGGGCGCTACTTTCAAACACCTAGAGACGGTAGTGTAAGCTTGGATAACATGGTTTAAATAATCTCATTGCCGAACTATAGGCGGCTGATAGAAAATGGACAGATTATCCTTGCTGATACTCTTTTCGAAGAGATAATTAACACAGGTTGGAACTCTTTACTACTACTTAATACTCATCACAAAACATAGGTTGGATAGAAAGTGATCTTCAGTAAACAAATAGACACGCAACTCGAGTGAAGCGACAGTTGCAATGTTGATGGATCATCAATGTAAAGCTTTGCTAGACTGCTCGAGGTAAAAGCTATTTTGGGCCGTCAAAATAATCCACCGAAACGCCTTATGCCATGCAAGGTTTGTTCTGCCCCAGAAAGAAATCATACAGGTACGGGTATTACAGTTCTGTAGCCTCATTCGTCATCGTCCGCGTCCTCTACAGTCGTAGCTGGCGCCTTTCCCTTTGAAGTGCTACCATTAGTGCCCTCATCAGACGCTCCGCCAACCTCGTTGCGTTGCTCGGCTACACTTGAGCCCTCATGAGGCTCCGTTGGCGCGTCGTTCTGCGCAGATGTCGATCGGCTGGAAGGAGCCTGTTGAAGTCCAAATGGCATCCCATTGCCACCACCGAAGAGCTGTGCCGAGCCACCCCAATTGGGCATGATAGGCGTCGGGGCAGCAACTGCTGGAGGTTCTCTTTGTTGAGCTCCCAGTACAGAAGTGCTGTTCTCACCCTGCTGGATGCCAGTTCTGGGCACCTCCTGTTGTACTCCCGAGCCATTAAGACCGGGAGCTGAGTTCGCTTCTGAGCTAATGTTGGTATGAGTTGAGGTTGGGGGTGGAACGGGCGGCGGGCTCTGTTGAGCAAAAGGCTGAAGAATATCTTGCAACTGGACTTGTAGGGAGGCCGGAACAGGAGCCGGAGCAGCCGAGCCAGGAGGCAAGTGTCCGCCGTCAGCATAACGCTGGAGCGGAAGAAGTGACCAACCGGGAGGAATGACGACACCTTCCGGAAGGTCAGGACTGCCCGCTGGGATTGCTGTTGTGTAAGATGCTCCCCCATACCGAGACATAGAAGGGGAACTCAGTCTTTGGGGGAAAGCAAAATTCGGCACCTGTGCCATAGGTGGAATGTGTTGTACTTGTGGTAGAGGTACTTGACCATGCGGTAGAGGAAATACTGGCTGTTGTTGAAGTTGAGGCAGCTGAACTGGTCCTGTTGTGGGTGGTGGAGGCGCAATGCCGGCTGTTGCAGATGGCCCTGGAGTAGGAACAGTTGGAGCGTTCTCTCTGAGAGTCGGAGCCTGAATAGTTGGATTCCCAAGCTGTTGTAACTGCCGGATACGATTTAGCTCGTGGAAGAGGAGGTTGAAAACCTGCAATTCCGACTGTGCGTTTTGCATAGTCCGCATCTCTCGGTGTATGCGTTGTTCGATGTCGATTAATTGCGCTCGAATTGCGTCCATAGAGTTGATCTCTGTGTTTTGCTCCTGTTGAACCTGCGGCGTTTGCGGAGCATGTGGGATATTGACAACATCGCCAACACCCATACGTTGAGCCATTTCCTGCATCTCCTGAGGACCGCCCTGAGCAAAGCCAAGACGAATAGGACCTAAGTTAAACATTCTGATATTGCCACCATTGCCGGCAGGCTGTTGACCTGGTGGAGGTTGTCCATTTGGACCAGCTTGAACACCGGGAGCAGCTCCATTTGCTGGGGCAGCCTGGTTCTGATTCTGACCATTCAATCCAGGTATTCGGAATGCCATCGCATCCCGGTTCCGCGGCGCAGCGGCCCCATCCACGACCACTGAGCTACGGCATGTCGGACAGACCTGCTGTCGCTCCAACCAGCTCTTCAAACAGCCGAAATGTAGTATATGGCCACAGGGAAGCTTCTTCGGACGTGAGCGTTCTACTTGCCCTGGATTCGCAGGATCCCAAGGGTGCATCTCTTCTCTGCAAATGATGCATGTATCCTCCCGTGACAACTCCTCTTCCGTCGCATCAGGGTACTTATTCATGTCTCGAAGAGCTTGACGGTACCGTAATAGGGCGCCTAAACGCTTTACAAAACTCCTTGTAGTCATGAATAAGTCTCTCATGATGTGGATAGGGAGGCCATAGAAAAAGAGAAGTACAAAAAAGAAAGCGGCATAGATGCAAAGCTTGAGGAAATCTGCAATTCAGGTCAGTATAAACGCTCATCCTCCTCAGGCTTGTGTAATAATTACCGGCAACAAGATCCAGGCTAAGAACCCACTGTCCTTTTGATTCCCAGCCGGGCACTTCAATGTCCATCTCGTCTATGTCGTCCTCTCTGGGCAAAGCCTCTTCAGTCTCACCCTCAGTAACCTCCCCTAGTTCACGTCGGCGCAATATCTCGTTCCTTTCTGCCCTAATTTCGCTTCGCCGTTGCTCCAGCCGCTGCTGAGTTTGTGCTTTCACAACTCGTTGCTCCACCAGAGACAGAATGTAACGTAACGAAGTGTGAACGGAACTAATTGCTAAGACCGCGAACTCGAAGAGGAACATGACCATCATATCGGGGCGGGCTTGCTGTACCACGGTGTTCACAGAGTAGTGCAGCAGCAAGAAGTTGTAGATGACGCTCGTCAAGAGGGATATCGAAAGCCGCGTATGGAACAGTCTCGGATTCGCCGGTGGTTGCTGTTCAAGAATCTCGACACGACCTTCACCAATCCAGCCCCATACTTTGCCTGTTATGAGTGCCGTGAACATGACCAAGAAGAAGGCGCCGACCTCCTCCCGGAACACCGTCATTGCTAAGCATGTCTCTGTTACGGCGAACCAAGCTTTTTCGTAGAGCTGTTCGATCTCGACTGGACGGAGTTGGCCGAAGCAGAGTCTTTGAAGGCTGTACATGAAGGAGCCGTAGACCAGAAAGATCAGGTTGACGAGAATCTGGAAGTCAATATTCGTCAGCAACTTTACTTGGAAGACTTTAATATCAAGAAAGGAGAACAGACCATCAAGCACAAATTACTCTGAGCAAGGTACACCATGGCAGAGTAGAAATTCGCGCGCTGGTAAAACGCTGAAGTGATGACGCCGGCCGCGAGGGCCGTGGAGGCCTATAGTGTTTGTTAGCTGTGAAGCTCATGGAAGCTATACTGTGTCTGTAGGCATACCCCGGCGTACCAAGCTAGCCGCATTTTGGGCATGCGGAAAGCGAGGAAAGGAAATTCCTGAAAAGAATGATGCCGTAGACGTTGTTAGAATACCATGATTTCGAGGAGTTTGCTGGCTCATGGAGGGAATTGATGAAAGCTGTCACCTCTGCTTATCGCCACGTTGGAGCTTAGGCCTGGCACGTGACAGCTACATCGCGGGATCTTTAGCGCACTTACTTATGGGGCAACGGGACGTTCCCCACTGCTTTTCCTGCCGCGAGATGGTGCACGTTCTCAGGATTTGAGCTCCTACCTTAATGCTATTGACCAACGAGGCAGTTGATCAGGACGCCTCCCCATTTTCCTCAGCACACCTCCTCTTACAGTTGCCTCCCCCATTTGTGTACTGCCATTGGCTAGAAAAACAGCTGTTAGTGACTAGGTATCTCAGTACGTACCATGGTCTGCTACATCTCCTACTACCTGACAGTAAGCTGTATAGACTGCTGAGTTAGTTGTTTAGTCTCTTTGTATCTGTCACGGCCAGATATAGCACAGGCAAGATGGCTCTGAGATTTACTCAGTCGGCCCAAATGAACCAGTCACGTGACTAGGAGACTGTCCTACTTTTCCCCATCCAGGTGCTACCCGTAAGACCAGGCAATGACACTGTTTTTGAATTTTGAGACATAAAGATCTACCTATCGAAGAACTTATCGTCTTTGAAAGATGCTGTGGACTTCTGTTTTGATGTTTCACCTTTTCCCGTACGAATAGGTTTAGAGGTAGAGTGATGGGATACAGGGAATGCAGACACCAAATACAAGATGTTAACCAGAAGGAGCCAAGCCGACTGGGCTGTGGAGGAGACATAGATGATATGTTGAGAGTCTTCCCTGAGATATCGAGAAGTTACGTACTTGCCGGCTCAGACCGCTGGACCTCAAGCTTCAGCTGCGTCTAAAAGGTTTAGATAAACCTCGCTCATCGTCGGAAACGGAGGCAGTGCATGCAGCAGCCGTTCGAGCGTCATCCCTCCCGCAATGGCAACCGTCGAGGCGTGGAGCAGCTCGGCCGCGTAGTCGCCCACAAACGTCGCTCCGAGCAGCCTCCCCGTCTCCCTATCCAGGATCCACTGAGCCCATCCGTCCTCGTATCCTTCGGCGTAGATCCTAGCCCCGAGCGTGATGAGCGGAGCAATCACCTCGCGGATCGGCCTCCCGGCTACTTGCGCCTTGGTTCTCGTGAGCCCTACGGATGCCACGTTGGGGCTCGTGAATATGACTTGCGGCGCTGCTTCCACGTCGGCAGTGGCAGCGTATGCCGACCAGGGAGACGGGGTCACCTCCAAACCCCTGATGCTCGCCAAGACGACATTGCTAGCAATGCGGCCGTGATATTTGCTCGTATGACTGGTGGGCGCTCGCCCGTTGACATCTCCTAGCGCATAAAGCCAGCCTCCTTCCACGGACGGGACGCGAAGAGACTCGTCGACTTTGATAGGACTTCCGTCGGTCTTGATCCCAAACTGCTCAAGGCCCATGCCCGTAGTGCAAGACTTTCTTCCTGATGCGATCAGGATTTCATGGGCACGAAGAGACTTGCCATTGGAGAGACCGACTGTGACAAATCCATCTGGCTGTCGCTCGGCCGACGTCACGGCCGTTGAGACCAGAACGTTGGCCCCTCCGCGAGACTCGAGGCGCCGGCGAACAGTCGCACCAGCCTCGGCGTCAATCTTGTCTAGAATCTCGGCCTTGGGCGTAACGAGAGTAACCTTGGACCCGAGATTCGCATACACCGTAGCCATCTCCGCCCCAATCGGCCCGGCGCCGACAATCACAAGAGTTTCCGGCACTACGCTGGAACTAATCGCGTGCCTCACCGTCCAAGGTTTCGCCTCCGCCAGACCGGCAATATCAGGAATGTAGAGCGCGCTCCCCGTGCACACAGCGACAGCATGTCTCGCCTCCAGCGTCACCTCTTCCCCATTCACGTTCCTTACACTCACCTTCTTAACTCCGACAATCCTCCCCTCCCCCCTGACTATCGTCGTCCCGCTGCCCTCCACTATCGGCACCGCCAACTTGGTGTCGTCCCAGACCCCGGCATACTCATCGCGCCGCCTGAGCACAGCGGCCACGTCGACCCTTCTGTCCCCTGTGGTACGCTCCCTGGCCCCTCCCACCGCAAGGGCCTCGTCCAGAGCCTCCTGCGGCCGCAGCAGCGCCTTGCTAGGGACGCAGGCCCAGAAGGGGCACTCGCCGCCCACGAGCTCGTCCTCGATGACGATGGCAGAAAGACCGGCTTTGACGATGTGGGCGGCAAAGGTGCGGCCAGCCCAGCCGGAGCCGATGGAGATAGCATCGTAGATGGTGGTTTTCAGGGAGGAAGGGGCGTGCGTGGCTGGATGGAGGTTGATGGTTGCGTAGTCCGGCATAGTTGCGGATAAGTAATGGAATTCGAGACAATACGTGGAACTTAGATTGAAGTATTGATATGAGGGCGGCTTAACCTGTATGAATCAAAACTTTGAAAGAGGTAGTAGTGCTAATAATCTTGGGTATAATCCGAATTGCTTGGTGTCCGCAAAGGCAGTTCAAAAGACATTTATATAACAGCTTCATGTAAACACTACAGGTGATTCGCCAGTCAAAGCACGGCAGACAAATCAGGAGCCATGCATTTACTCAAGCTCTGGGGATATACATTTTGCTTACTTAGGGGTAGGAAAGCAGGCTTCTGATTGGTCTGTAACGATGAGTTTGGTCCCTACGTCTCGAGTTACACAGCTCTAGTTGACTGCATACTTGTCACTGTTACAATTTGGAATCAAATACCTCCTGGTGGCAATCCTTGGACACTATGGACAGGGAACACCGTAGCCAACCAGAGGGCCACACTCAATGAGTTAGGTTATCTGCACACTGTTAAGCCTATTCTGGAGGACATCTGCGCCCTGTATGGCCCGCCCGCAAAAAGTATCGAAGTAGCTAGGGACTTATGTCGACGCAAAGGCGTGGTAGTCCTCCGTGTACTGTAACTGTGACTTTGTAGGTCACCACAATTGTAAGGCAAAGCTCAGCTACTAGGGTGATATAAGTAAATTATGCTATGAGAAGAGTAAAAACAAAGTAGAAGCTAATGAATAGCATCTTAAACAAGATGAATCTCAATATAACGTTAGCAAATATAGTAAAATTAATGAATATTCTTCTCTTAGTATATATATCATTGCTACGGTCTAGAACGTTTTATTGTGTTATATTGGTACTGTGAAGAAGAGACAATGATATTATGTCTCCTTGTGTATCTTAATATGTGTTGGACAGAGTGATCTGGGTTGAATCAGATCAAACAAATATAGTTGTTATAATCATAATTTTGGTCTTTCCCGCGATTTTATACCACACTATATAGTGGCGTAAGAAATCTAGAATATCATAGGTAGATACGACGATCCGTGAGACAGGAAGGAACAGCTGCGGAAAAAATAGGCTGGTTTGCATATTCGCATTATGCAAAGATTAGGTTCAGAGAAGATCACCAATCTCAGCCCTGTAACTTTCCACGAACACCTAAACCCAGCACAGGCAATGGAAGAAGGGCCTAGAAGGTGACAGCAGCTGTAGGATTCGGCCTCAGTCAGCAACTCAATGTGGTCTATGTATTGTTCTTACTAATGACAAGGTTTGAGCGTGGCTCCTGCCACTGGTAATGGTCAGGACTGGGGAAGGGAGGGTTACAGTCAGGCTCCATGATCCTTCTATCTTATACAGGCTCAATGATATTGTCCGACAGAATCATGAGAAAAGCCGAGACCCCAGGAGCGAAGGCAACGAAAATCCCAAATAGACTAGGCTTCACATTGAGTAAAAGGTGACACAGGCAGAGTCTTCCATGGCCAAGATACCACAGAAGCTGACAGGGCACCGAATGGAGAGTACGTTGATCAGATCTTTGACGACTGCCACTGTACCGAAAGTGCAATAAGCCTATCCGCCCAAAATCATCTCGATTGTAACCTTCTACCGGACCGATAGAGGAACTGGAGAATACTGATAACTTTCAGCGTCCAATTCTCTACTTGTAATGAAGACTCATTCAGGCAATCCGGAGCATAGTTTTCGCTAGTGTAGACTCAGCCGATACAACTGAAGACGACCAAGGCACTGTCAATCTCAATGAAAGCCAGATAAAAGGATGAAGTTATGTCACGAAATCATTCGAACCAATAGTTTCCAGAAGTGCTCTGGAGCCTTCTGTTCTAGGCAAGATGCAAGTCCAGACATAAGAGTTCAAGCCTAATGCAGCGATTCGACAAACGTTGTGCTTTCTCCAGGTCGAGAAGCCATCCCAGATCAGTCACGCATTCGCCGAAAGCGTCAAAAGATAAAAATACATTCTCCAAGAAAGAGGACTATTGATCGAAAACATTATATTGTGTGAAACTGATTGCCATGAAGAAAGAAAATGGTATGACGTCTCATTGTATATCCTATTATGTATTGTAGAGAGTGGTCTGGGCCGAATCTGATCAAATAAATACTTTTTCCAAAACCGGGTCTTGCAGATTGTCAGTGAGAACATCTGACAGGACGACCAAGATATTTACGTCGTTGAAGCAAGGTTTGCCCGTGTCATCGTACTTCTTCCGCATGTGCGAGACGAGGGACAGCTGCCGGTCAACGAGCAGAGAGATCAGGCTGCTGCGTAGCACAACACTGTTGTCCGCTCGGCTGCTGAGGCCTTCTTTGTCCTAATCGCTAGCCTCATACCACAAGACGAAGGATGAGTGCGTTTACGGACGGACAAGCTTTTTGTTGACTCGAGAGACAGATGAAACCTCAACTAAAAGGTCATCTTAAAGGAGCACTCAACGGCAGAGCTACTGTTTATGAAGTGAAAGCTGTGAGACAAACTATCATTAGTATATGTGAAGGTGCAGGCATGCGAATATTTGATAGTGATACTCCTGCCGGGAGGGGTTGGCGTATGAGGTTGCAGACATATGAATGAGACTGACTCAAGGGCAGTCTTCATAGGCTATCAATGAGCAGATACTGGCCTTGGCTCCAAGAAGACAACATGGCCCCAAGTTGCATATCACTGTGAATCGTGGATTATTAGTCATCAGACAGCTTTGACCCTTCCAACATGAGTTTGTCAGTCAGTCAAATTTACCTAGGAAGATTACGAGCAGGCGACTTTACGGACCGTTACAGACCGTTGCGAGCCGGTACCTCAGGAAGCCTTCATTAATCCAAACCGCTGGATAAAAAGAGCTTCTGTAATTCCCTGAACGTGGGTGGGGACTTAGGTCCGGTAGACTTTAGTGTAGACCTGCATGGCCAGCGGCAGGAAATTGGGAACCAGGCCCCACGATCACGTGAGCCAGAAAATTCCAGGTAACTCTAATTGCCGTTCCGCCCCGTTCTGTCGCCTCTTTGTGGTTCTTGACATATTCTATTCTCCCTCTTCCATCGAACTTACTGCCATCACCACACAGATATCACAGCAATGTCGTGGAGAAATCAGGGAATTACCGGATCCAACAATATCCCCTTGGGGAAAACTCGCCGGTTCGGCGGCGAAGATGAGCCTGACAATAGCTACAACAGCTCTTCCTACTCGAATGGCGACTCCTACGGAGATCGCGACCTGAAGCGTGGTCGTAGCCCTGAGCCGCGTATGCACCCGACCGTGTTCATTCCGCAAATAGTCCATTCTAATCTTGTGATAGGAACTGACGCCGACGGTCCGCGACGACGAAAGAAGCGTAATCGATGGGGTGATGCCTCCGAGAACAAGGCTGCTGGTCTCATGGGTCTTCCCACCGCGATCGTGGCAAATATGACAAGCGAACAACTAGAGGCTTACACTCTCCATTTGCGCATCGAGGAGATCAGTCAAAAGCTTAAGATTGACGATGTCGTTCCAGCTGACGGCGATCGGTAAGTTCTTTTGGTCATCTCAGTCATTATAGCCACTAATAACCGAATCACAGCTCACCGTCACCTCCCCCTCAATATGATAATCATGGTCGTCGTGTCAACACTAGGGAATACCGCTATCGAAAGCGCCTCGAGGATGAGCGTCACAAGTTGATTGAAAAGGCTATGAAGGTGAGCTTCCCCATCGCCGATTCCAAAGCAGATGACTAATTATATACAGACCATCCCAAACTACCACCCTCCTCAGGACTACCGTCGGCCAACAAAGACCCAAGAGAAGGTCTACGTGCCGGTCAATGATTACCCGGAGATTAACTTCAGTATGATTGCTAACCCTCTAACCTTTCTAACGATGTTACCCCTGCCCCTTGGTCTCTTACGAGGCGTGGGAATTGTATTCGCTTGGATGCTCTGTCCTTCGCCTTGTCGAACTAAATTTTCCACACATGCTCTCCCATTTTGATACAAAGACTAACACTTAGCTTTACTTACTAAAGTCGGCTTACTTATTGGTCCTCGTGGCAACACACTCAAGAAAATGGAATCAGAATCTGGTGCCAAGATTGCCATTCGCGGGAAAGGCTCAGTCAAGGAGGGCAAAGGCAGAAGTGACGCTGCACATGCTAGTAACCAGGAAGAAGATCTTCACTGCCTAATTATGGCCGACACCGAAGAAAAGGTTAACAAGGCCAAGAAGCTCATCCACAATGTTATCGAAACTGTAAGTTCTAGAAGCAATTCTTGATTCTCATCCTTTACTAACCAGCTTAGGCTGCCTCCATCCCTGAAGGCCAGAACGAACTGAAGCGGAACCAGCTCCGTGAACTTGCCGCCCTCAACGGAACATTGCGTGATGATGAGAACCAGGCTTGTCAGAACTGTGGACAGATCGGTCATCGTAAATATGACTGTCCCGAGAAGCAGAACTTCACTGCCAACATCATCTGCCGTGTTTGCGGCAATGCAGGACATATGGCAAGAGACTGTCCTGACAGGCAGCGGGGCGCCAGTTGGCGCAATGACGGCCCTGGGGCTGGCCGCCCTGCTGGACGCATTGGGGGCGGAGAGACTGTAGACAAGGAGTACGAGGTAAGCTTCATGGCTTTCATGTCTCTCACAAACAGCTACTAATCGATATCTAGCAACTCATGCAAGAGCTTGGCGGCGGAGGAGCTGCCCCTGCCCGCATCGAAGCTGGTCCTGGATCTTACAACAACAATAACGGAGACGCGAAGCCTTGGCAGCGAGGGCCTACTGGCGGCCCTGCACCTTGGCGTAGCCGCAACAATGACCGCGATAATGAAGCTGGTGGCGGCGGCGGAGCCTCTGGCGGTCCGGCGCCCTGGGCTCGCGACCGTGGTAGTCGCAATAACGATAACAACGGCGATAGCTACTACGGTGGACAGAGCAATTACGGCTCTTCTGCTCCTCCCGGCACCGCTCCATGGCAGCAAGCCCCTGGGGCTCAATCAGGCGGTTATGGAAGTTATGGAGGCTATGCAGGCTATGGTGCGCCTCCGGGCATGGGAGCCGCCGCTCCCCCTGGAGCTCCTCCAGGTCTGAGTGCACCTCCTGGACTTCCCGGAAATATCAATGCCTTGATCCAGCAGTATGCCGGCTCGATGGTTCCACCTCCTCCTCCCCCTCCGGATGGAGCGCCGCCGCCACCACCAAGCGACTTCCCTCCTCCCCCTCCTCCGGGAGCCTAAGGACATCCCAGGTCGTAGTAGTTGCCATAGTTAACCGAGGGTTACTAACATGCTGACTATTACTTGTCTGTATTTTTTGTTTTGGTTTTCAACTCACCTTTAGTCTGATGCCAGTAGGCTGCGATAGGTTTACAGAAACAGCAAGCCGAGACGGAACTACGAGATACTAAATAGCTATAGTGGAAATGCTTTTTGTACTGACTGTATAATAGGTTGGTCTCTCTAAGGCTGGCACAGACTGATAACTTAGTAGAAATACGTAACGCTGTACTTCGTAACCTGCTGTCTTCATGTGATGTCCTTAAATATGCTCTGCTATTTCACCGACATTAAATTGCCATATTTCTAGAAGCTCCTTTGTTCTTTGACACCAGCTGAATCATCTTGATATGGTGTGGATACATGGATTGTGAAAGGCCTGGGAGCGCGTTACAGAGAGGTAAACTCCTACTAAGGTAGATTTTGGTGGCGCGCTTGTACTGTTTTTAGTAACTTACCGTCCATGCATGACCCCGCAGAGCGGCGGAAGCTTTGAGCGACCCTTGTAGGAGCTTGGGCCACCTGCAGGCATGGTGACGCTGCTGACCTCGTACTCCTCTATTGCACCTTCAGGTCAATCCAACGAGACAAATCCGCCACTCAGCACGCCGCGCAGTTCAACCTCGATTGAAGTGCCATAGGACCTGACTCCTAGAGGATTTCTGGTTCCGTCAAAGCCTGATAGTGAACTCTCGCTTGGGCAGTGTCGTCTCACCTCAAGAGAGGGGCTACCTGTTGAAAGGTGCGACCTGCCTCGGAAATACGAATCTGCCTGTATCGGCAACCGCATCGTGACACTTCAGACTTCAGCTCCTCAGATGTTCTTATTTCAGTAGCATCAACATAGGAGGCGCTTTCACCAAACTTCATGCACTCACGTGTTTTGATAATTATAATCCACTACCTACGACAAGGCATTGGCGCATAGCATCTTGGATCTTTGAGCCTTATGCTCTATTCATCATGAATCCCTTTGCGTTCCGACCGGCACAAGTCTCCTTCTGGACGACAGTCATCTATCTTGCGCTCGTCATTCCTCTCATCGTCGTCAACGAGAGTGTACCCCCAGCACCTACAGATCCCACTCCATTGGAAGGCATTAATATCACGGAGGCATGGCTGGATCTCGCCACTCTCACGAATGGCTATCACCCCTACAACAGCCACAGGAATGATGAAGTGCGCAACTGGCTACTTCTGAGGATCCAGGACATTTTGGACGAGAATGGCGTATCTTGGAACACAGAGACAACTATCAGCAAGCCCCCGTAAGCACACTGTCTAACTCTTCCCACTCCTCCCTTGCAGCAAGATATGTCTGACATAGGCTGTTCCAAAGTTCTAACTACAGCTCTAAACATCTGTCCCTCTCTGGTCAAAATCGTCGATCCACGACGGCTTTGGCTGAAAAGGGCTCCAATCAGGCAGCATCTGCATCTGATGTTCAGCCCACTTCAGGATATGATGTGACCGTCTTCAACGATTTGCTTTCTAACGTGACATGCCTTTTTGGAGGCGTCATTGCTACTGGCCCAGGAGTTGCCACTTATTTCGAAGGGACTAATATAATAGTGTACATTCGAGGTACCCTAGATGAAGATGGAGATTGGTGGAAGTCTGCCAACACTGATCGCCAAAAGGAAATCGGCAAAGGAGGAGTTCTTGTGAACGCGCACTATGACTCGTAGGCCCTCCCCAGTATTTGAAATTCGATACTTGTTTTACTGATCTCACAAAGTGTATCTACTGGATACGGCGCAACCGATGACGGCGTGGGTGTTATCACCGTGTTGCAACTCATCAAATATTTCACCACTCCAGGACATCAGCCTGAGCATGGAATTGTAGCGCTTCTGAACAATGCAGAAGAGGACTACCTTTACGGCGCTAGGGCATTTGGGAAGAGTCCGCTGATGCCATTTGTTCACAGCTTCTTGAACCTCGAGGGAGCTGGTGCTGGAGGACGAGCTATACTCTTCCGGACTACGGACCAGGACGTGACAGCTGCTTATGCTGGAGTCAAGGACCCATTTGGCACCGTTATTGGATCAGACGCATTTGGTCTGGGATTCATCCGAAGTCAGACAGACTACGTTGTATTCAACGGTAATTACGGTGCGAGGGGCGCGGATATAGCCTTCTATCGTCCTCGAGCAAGGTATCACACCAACCAAGATGATGCGAGACACACTAGTCGAGCAAGTCTGTGGCACATGCTCTCTGCTTCCATCACTACTGTTGATAGCCTGTCTGGTGACTGGGGGAAGAAGTTCCTTGGGGAACGTAGCGACGGTGACGACACTAAGGTTCCTAACGGCAAGACCAGCGACGGGGTCTGGTTCGATCTCTTTGGCAAAGGCTTTGTTCTTTTTAACTTGCGTGGCATGTTCGCATGGTCTCTGACTTTGCTTATTGCCACACCACTAATCTTGGTCCTTCTCACCTATGTCTTACACAAGTATGGGAAATACTATTTCTTCTCGTCTAAAGTCAATACTTCTGAGACTGATGAGCTTGATTCGGGCGATGTCGAGAAGGTCAAGATTGGGGGGTGGAAAGGCTTCTTCCGGTTTCCTTTCGCACTCATTGTCGCCGGAGCATTGAATTTTGGTGCTGCATTACTGCTGAAGAAGGTGAACCCATTCATTGTCTATAGCAGCGAATATGCCGTGTGAGTTCTGCTCTAGTTCTGATTTGTTACCAAGATCAAAAGCTGACATATTATAGCTGGGCAATGATGACATCGCTCTTCTACTTCGTCTTCTGGTCCATCATGAAAGGTGCAGACTTTGCAAGACCGAGTGCTTTGCATAGAGGCTATGTTCACATATGGCTATTTATTCTCTCGTGGGCTATTCTTGTGGCTGTGACCGTATTCGAGGACAGGTTCAAGATTGCTTCCGGCTACCCGTTTGTGTTCTTCCAGTCGGCTGTCTTTCTGTCTACCCTCATCGCATTCACTGAGCTTTTTGCTCTGCCAAACATGCGGACTTATGGAGTAAGAGCTCAAGAAGAAGATCAAGTGAGAGACAGCCTGCAAGCAGTTCCTAGTGCTGATGCGTTGATCGCGCCGAGCCCAGGGGAAGTGGATCCTGCTACTGCTCGGGACAGAGATGATGACGAAGAGGGAGAGCCGGCAACTGAGACGACACCACTTGTCGGTGGTCGAGCAAATGGAGATAATGCGCGCACGACGTTTGCGACCACGTACCGCCGGTCCATCCAGGCTCTAACTGATGTCACACGAAAGGACCAACAGCCTGATGACGGGCCACAACCTTACGAGGACGAACAACCTTGGTCGGGTAACCTACCGACATGGACATGGCTTCTGCAGTTCCTGATTTTAGGCCCTTTCACCATTATTTTAGTGACCCAAATTGGTCTGGTGTTCTTGGACGCAGTTGCCCAGACTGGTCCGGATGGCTCGAGTCCCCTACTACCATTCCTACTCACTGCTCTGTGCAGCATCTTGCTTTTGCTCCCGATCACACCCTTTATTCATCGCGTAACTCATCATATTCCCCTTTTCCTCCTCTGCGTATTCGTCGGCACCCTAATTTATAACTTGGTTGCTTTCCCGTTCTCCGCGGACAGCAGGTATAAGGCGTACTGGCAACAACTCGTCAATCTTGACACGGGAGAGTCGACAGTCAAGTTCGTGGGCATCGAGGATTATCTTCGGCCAATAATCGCAGAACTACCCTCTGCCGCAGGCAAGGAGGTGACATGCCGCGATGCAAAGAATCGTTATAACATCAGAGAATGTGTGTATGACGGCGTGGATGTTCCGCCAGTTCTTGCCGGCAACGTCATCCCCGGCGTGCCTCCGCAGAAGAGCTTCACAGATCTCGTCTCCGTCAACATCACGCACGGATCTGCGCCAGGAACTGCTTCTCTGGCCGTCAATGCCAAGAACACGAAGGCTTGCTATCTGAGATTCAAGAAGGCAATCAACTTCACCATAAAGGACGGCACGGGCTGGGATGATCGCTTCGGAGCTGTCCCTGAGAGCGGCATTTACGAAATCTTGCTGTGGAGAAGAGACTGGAACAAGACTTGGTTTGTTGATATCGAATGGGATGTTGATGCCAAGGATGTGGACCCTCTGACTGAGGTCGATGATGGTCAAGAACATGATGGACCGGATGAGTTGAAGGCGCGAGCACCAGGTATGGAGGGTGAGGTATCCTGTCTCTGGAGCGACATCAATACGCCCGGGACGATTCCTGCGCTGGACGAAGCGCTTCAATTCGCACCGAGTTGGGTGGCCATTTCGAAAATCGCAGCTGGGCTCGTCGAAGGCAGCAAGACTTTCATTATTTGAAAACGAGCTGTGGTCTGAATGAATGACAGTGGTCTGAGTGGTCTGGTTATTGATTTATCTCATTCGTCTCATCTTCCGTCACACAGGCAGTATTACATTTGACTTAAAGGCGGAGTGCATCGTTGGCGTTGAGATGGTATATTTTTTTTGGTCGTTGAAACACCTTGCTCAGTACCATGCATGGATAGTTGTTAGGCAGTTGTGATTTTTTGAGGCTGGTGCGATAATTGAGATGTGACTACTCGTAGCACAAGACAAACGGTTACAGTGGAACAAGCCGTGTTTTTGAATAGTTGCCTTTATCTCCTCGACATCAGTAAACCAAAGGAAATGGCAATCTTTGGGACACAATTCCTGGTTTCCGGAGCAGACGTCCCGTCCGGTGAGGCCGTCATTCAGGGGTAAAGCTTGCGAGAAGGTAAGTGGCGGGTTCATCAAACCTGGTAGACCAGAACACCCGGCAAGGCAGTGGTAATTTACATGGATGTAAACAAGATCACATCACATAGGTTCACAAAGCTGGGGGAGGAATCATTGCTGTATTCTGCCAGGAGTCGTGGAGGGGATGTAATTAGCCGATGCATCTGGGACTTTTCTTTGCCACACACGCACTTCCCCCCCTAGAGCCACCATGTCCCAGGCCGAATGATCTCTAGTCTGATGGAAGGGGGAGTTGTTGGCAATGTGATTTATGTTACAGCAAAAATTCAATGCTCAGGATTGGCTAGAGTAGTAGGAATGAGGTAAAATCATTTGGTGAGAGCTAGCTCAGACGAATTTACCGAGGAGAGGTGTCAAGTTCGTTTGCAGAAATTCGAAGAGATGACTACCTGGGTATAGTCTCGCCGTGAACGAGTATTTCTTTCATGAAACACACCTTCGCACACGAATTTCACTTTGTTGGCATTTGGCATCATCTACTTTGTAATCATCCGCCCGAGTACTTCGCTGCTACGTCCTGAAGCTGTCTCAGGAACTGGAGTCATTCAGAAAGACTAGCCTCCACGACATCGGCTCTGGCAGTGTTCGTAGCTCTTTTGTTACAATATCTCACCAACCCTCAAAGTTTGACAACCAAGATGATATTCACCAAGCTCACGAGTGCCATGGTGTTCGTTTTTGTATTCGGCAAACTCGCGGCCGGTGCTCCAGCCGTGTCTGACCCCAGCGAGCCGGTCGCAGCCCCGAGCTGTGTCATTGGCGCCGCTGCGGCGACGGGCACGGAGGGAAGCTGGCAGATCAACTTTGCTTCCGTGACGCCTGTGCCTGCTACGCAGACTTCCTACGGCGTTGACAAGACGTGGTCTTCACAACACGCCATGATGACCATGGTGAGTTCTAGATGTTGATTACGAGACGTCTAGTTTGGTGCTGTTCATTGACTATTTGTTTCTAGAATATTGGTCTCACACATGGCGGTGATATGGATCTCTATGGAGCGTTCAAGTGTCAGTTCCATTGCCAACTCAGAGACGGCTGTCTCTCGTATTTCGGGCGCTATGTCGATGTGAATAGCTCGACCGAGCGCTTCGAGTGCGTCGGCTTCAATGCTATGTGAGTTCCACCCATTTGAGTCATTCTTCAACTCTCAGTTAGGCAAGGCTGACAGAACGCAGCATGAATCCGTCTGTCTTCGTGCCGGACCCGATTAATATTCCTGTTGGCGGGTTCGACCAGCTTTGCACAGGCGCGGACTAGGCTAGCGTGATAACCAGGACCATCGAGTTGTTCGTGGAGCTTGGAGGATGTGTCGCGTGTAGGAAGCCGTTGATGCTGTTTCTCAAGGGACCGTCTCAGTACTATAGCATAGCAATCCCGTTCGAGGTTCTTCATCGCCGTCTGGAGTCGACTCCAGTGGAGTATTGCCGGCACCTTTGTGGGTACCGTGAATGCCTCTTCCAAGAGCAAGGTCGACTCACTCCTTCATCTCGACGTCCCTCTCCCTGCCGCCATTTTCCACTAGGCCCTCCAGGTGTTCCCTCGCCTTGGTCCACAGCTCTGCCTCCATGTCCCTCTCAACCTTGTTGCTCCGACTGTTGAGCCAGCCCACGTCCAGATTTCCAATGTTGCCGACGCCATTCGGCTCGATTGCGCCGACGCCTGGCTGCTTCGTCTCCTTGGCGGCGCCCAGGCTAATGATGCCCGCCTCCTCGAGCGCCATGATCTGCCGCTTCAGTCGGACATCGACGCGGTGCAGCGTAGACAAGAAGGCGTCCATGGAGCCCTTGAACGCCTCGGTCTGCTGGTCGGTCGACATGTCGCCATTGGACGAGGGGCTCTTCTGCTTGCCCAGGCTCTGGATCGCTTTGCCTGTCAGCTCGAGGAGGGTGGTGACGTCCTGCGGGAGGCGGTTAGCGAGTGCGGCAGGGGAGGGTGTAGAGGGAGGCTAGCATACCTGGTCGATCTCGCTGAGCTGCAGCATTCGCTCGGCGCGAGTGAAGGGCTGGTGGATGTCGGTCGCGCCTTCGGGAGGCGGGGAGCCTGACGATGCTGAGGAGCCGTCCATTGTGGGAAAGGAGGAGGACGAGGAGGTCAAGCGGGAGAAAACGTGAGAAAGCGGTGGCAGTGGTGGGATGAGGTCAGTGTCGGAAGATTTGAGCTAACTAGCTAGCTACCATCCCGCAACACGGGATGCGATGCGTTGCTTTGCGTTGCGTTGCGTTAGGTCACCTTAGCTCGCCCTTGCAGGGGCAGGAGGGGACACCTAGGTACCCCGCCAAAACCTGCCCGCCCTGAAGGAAGAAGGCATGGGCCAGGAACTCACCCCTAACCCGCCCGATGGAACAGGCCACGACACACGTGATACCCTTCAGACGTAACGGGATTTCCCCACGTCGGCAGGCGGTGTCGGGTCGGCCACAGACGGGAAACAGCAAAAGTGCATTGTAACCGCGGACTCGGGGCAGGCACCGACTTTTGCCTTGTCGATTCTAGATGTCGATGATCTCTTGACCCCTGCCTCACCCTGCCTGTGCCGGTCTAGACTTTTCGTCATCTACACTACAGTACAACGTCAGCCCCGCCTGCTGTTCAGATATTTAGATCGCATGTCGCTATCGGCTGAGCCGGCCAGGGCGGGGTCTGCTTGGTAGCTAGACTAACAGGGACCATGTCTGCTTGACCATCGACGATATTGAAGATCACCTGCGCAAGGGCAACATTGAAGGCAGCCGTCATCGTCATTGGGGCCTCGCCTAACTGAAAACGACTTTAGGCGATGGCCAACAGACAAACATGATCGTCTAAGCAGTTCTCATGACATGCGTATTCGTGTATACAGCATAGGCTAGATGTGATAGACAGACAGCGCAAGACGATCAGATAGATTGGAGGGATTGATGGCCAGCAGATCGTACCACGTACCATACCTACCCTATCTACCTATTCAACTACATATGTAAGGTGCAATGATGCACTTTGCAACACATTTACGTCCATCCAATTGCATGCCTGTCTGACAGAAAGCCAACCGAAGGCAACTCTGTTGGGCGGGCGGTTACAGAGTGACGGACAAGCGAAGAGTCTGGCAGCGAAACTAACTGAGGTGAGTCAAGTAAGACTCCCACGGCAGGTCACCCTCAGCGAAGACAAAAAAGGACCGACAGCGCTTTATTCCCCATTGCAGATCTGCGCCCACGCCCAGTGGCCTGTTTGGTGAGATCTAGTCGGATCGTCGGGAGAGACACACACACAATGCCACTGCATTAGACACCGAACGGTCTGTCCCTGGTCTGAACTGTGGGAGATGAACAGCCCATCTTTCCCTTTTGCATGCCGGTTCGAGGCCCAGTCTGGACTTTTCGCTCCATCTGCTTCAGGTCTTAGTTAGTTGCGCTTTTCGGTTTTCTCTCCTCATAGAAAAGTAGCGACATATAAATCAACGACATATTCTTTCTTTCTCAAAGTGACGAGAGCGCATATGGCCGCTGTTGCGGAAAGTAGCTGAAGCCCGACACACCCATCCATCCCACTTCACTTCACAACTCGCCCCAGTGTCGCCGCTCGAGCCCACTAATCCGTGGCTACCTGTATAACTGCACTTACGTGACTGACTACCCCGGGGCCGGCCTCAGCCGCCGTCTAGGTAGATAGGTATACCTAGGTACCTTAGCTACCTATAAACGGGTACCTTAAGTGTCCGCCTGGGTTGGTTGCGCGTCGTCATACCCTCCCGCCGCGAGAATCTAATTAGGTACCGACTTTTTAATTATTCAAAGAGAGAGGCAGAGAGGACACATCGACTTGTGAACCAGGCTTTTGCGCTCAGTTTACACCTGGCAGATTAGGGGCATTCTTTCCAAAGCCCGCGTCGCAACCGATTGTCTGCTATCTCTCGGTTTCTCGCCGCTCGCGACACGAAACTCGTCTGCGCTCGTTCGTTCGCTCTGCTTGTCGATCCATCTTGACGCCGAGAAATTCTTCCCTGCGCCCCTCCAATAACCCCGCTGCTCGCTCCTCGCCGCCGCTGCAAGTGCCCCCCAACACGATTAATAGGCCTGGCTTGGCTGGCCAGCCCACCGACGTCTATCGGTTTCTGCGCAACATAATCTGCAAATCCATATCCTCGTCGGGCTCTCACGCTTGTCCGTCACCCGAGCGACCTCTCGAACTGGGCAGACGATGCTAAGCGCTCCCGAATTGCGATAACCTCGAGCCATCGGGCTTCTGGTCCCCTCGAAACCTCTCTCACCCCACCACTTCTCCGTGCTCTGCGCCCAACCGCCGCCGGGCTCTGCAGTCCGCCAAGATGAAGACTGGCTTACCCAGACGATTTCTCACTTTGCGTGACAAGAATGGCAACCATCGAAGGAGCAAGTCCTCAGAGGGACACCGAGTAAGTGCTTGCTAATCCGGCATTCTTTTGCTGCGGCCCGAAGCTCTGAGCTGACCTTCCTTGCCATGATGTAGACCCGCCCTCTCTCTGCCGAGGCATTCTTCTCGATGTTCAGGAACGAAAATGGGAAGCAATCAGTAAAGGAAGACGAGGACAAGGAGAAGGAAGCAGCCAAGGTCCGTCTGCCCAATCCGGCGCACAGTCAAAGAGCACGCACGTCCTGACAGTCTCCTAGATCGAAGATATTTCAAAGCGTTTAGCTGAGATGAACATGCACGACATCTCTGATCAGTATATCCACTTCGCATTGACCGGCATGTACGCCAATGGCGACGTCGAAAAGGCCCTCGAGATTCTACTTTTACAGCAAAAATCATTTTCAGGCATTATCATGCCATACAACCCAAATGTGTCGATGCTCGGGGCCGAGAATAGGGGGAACGTGACATGCTACCTAGACGCTCTGCTCTTCGCCATGTTCGCGAAACTCGAGGCATTCGAGTGCATGCTCAAGAACGACTCCAATGATGAAGCGCAGCGGAAATTGGCTACTCTCGTTCGCCTTTGGGTCAACATGCTGAGGAGCGGAAAACTGATCCACACGGATATGGTATGAGGACCCTGAAAGTGCAAAGGAGGCAACGGGCAGCTAACTTTCATACAGACAAAGTTAATACAAGACGCTTTGGCAGCATGCGGCTGGCAAGACGCCTCTCTATTGGAACAGCAAGACACTTCAGAGGCTTTTGCCTTTATTACCGAAACGTTACAGCTACCCCTATTAACACTACAGGTGGACCTATTCCATCAAGGAAAAGGCGATGCTGATGATCACAAAGTCGTTTATGAACGCCTTTTGAATCTTGCGGTTCCTGCTGACCCAGAAGGCAAAGGCATCAAGCTGGAAGACTGCCTCGAGGAGTATTTCAACACCAAGGTCGATGTTTTACGGGACAGCCTAGAAGAGAAAAGGGGAGAGAGGCCTGTCCTGACTCCCAAAAACACTATCCGTATTGTGACGGATAACGACGGCGCAGAGTCGGAAGCCGCCGACCAGGTGGAGATGTCCCAATTACAACGGCGGTGGACACATGCAGACTCGCCGGCTTCGTCATCATCTCCAACAACAGTACGGCCAACGCCGCGGCACAGATCGACCAGCATTATTCAGCGAGTTGTTCTAGACGAGAAAGGTCAGCCAACAGAAGTGGACGGAACCACACTGCTGCAAAGGGCGAAGCGGACAGGGTCAACTGTCGTGAAAGCTGTCACAATACCTGCTTGGCAGTTCTTCAGGTTAATACGTAAGTCCAGCTCATCTTGACAGATCCGCAGGGAAGTTACTGATTGTCATCTAGCCTGGAACGCAGCTTCGAATGCAGAGCCTCAAACAGATGTTGAGGTTGCAAAACACTTCAATCAGCGTCCTGTTGTCGGCATCTGTCTGAAACGGTACATGATGACGGAGAAGGGCGAGTTCAAGCGTCAGAACACGTTTATTGATATCCCAGACAGTCTCAGGTTACCGCATTTCATGATGGTCGACGATGTGAGGCTGGAAGAGGATGCTGGCCTGAGCGCCGAGTACAAGCTCGTGCTCCAGTCGGTTGTCTGCCATCGAGGCGATTCTCTGCACAGCGGACATTACATCTCCTTCGCTCGCGTCGCCCCGAAGCTGCTCACGGATAACCGTCGGCATGACAGCGACCCCCCACCGGACTATGAGGAAGCACAATGGGTCAAGTTCGACGATCTTAACATCGAGAGTCGAGTGACCTATGTAGATGACATCAAGGAGTCTTTGAAGGAGGAGATGCCCTATCTCCTGTTCTACCAGATCGTACCGATGGTCGATGTGACTACATCCTCCACGGTCGATTCGGAGACGGACCCACCGTCTTATAACGACTCGGCCATCAACGTGGGAGGCACAACAACTCCAGGCATTGACGGGGAGAAGATCGGATTGTCAAGGCAGACTAGTGGCTACTTTGACGGTCTGACCAATTCGACCGGCCCAAGCATCCGCTTCTCGTCCGAGATGGAGCGTCCGCCACGCGTGAGCCTGACAGTCGACGAAGACCCTTACTCGTCATCCACGCTCCTTGGCACGAACTCGTCGCGCCGTGGCAGCTTGACGTTTACAGAGTCCACGGCCGTCACGCCCGCGATCACACCAGAGGGCGGCCACTCCCCGGCGATCACGCCGAACGAGGAAAGCACCGCGCAGAGACTATCACGGGCCGCAGCGAAGTTCACCAAGTCCGGCAACCGGAGCCGGCCACCCAGCCAGGCTGGCGAGAACCGGATTAGTATCACGATGTCTCGTCTCGGCCTCGGCCGGCAGAGCAAGGAGCCCCTTCGCGAGGAAGGTGGCGTGGAGGCGGTGGAAGACGAGCAGACAATCTTGCCGGACGGCGAACACCTGGTGGACGGGACGAACGGCAAGGAGCATCACCATCACCATCACCACCACCACCACCACAACAACAACAAGAAGAAGAGGGGCAAGTCGAAGAGTCGGGCTGGCGACGAGGAGAAAGGCGTCAGCAAGGCGGGCGTGCCCGAGCGCGAGTGCGTCGTCATGTAGGGGGCGTAGTACTTTTTTTGCTTGTTAGGAGAACGCGCGTTGCCTAGTTTCCATCGAAGGGGCGTGGGTGCATGCGCGTTTCGTTTCGTTGCCAGGGAGAGGCAAGAGAGAGTTTTGGTTGCAGCATCTATACATTATCATGGGAAAGGGGGGGTTTGCATAGTGATACCACGGAAACACAGTCGAGGGAAGGCTGATGGTCTGGGCCACAAAGTTTTTTTTGGGTCTGGTGTGTGTGTCCAGGAGAGACGACCGTTTCCGAACAAAAAAACCAGCATAATAAGCGAATTGTGTTTTTCCCGATCTTGGGGAGGATTAATGAATATACATGACCGGGGCGGCGGCGGGAAATCATAAAGCGGCAAAAAACGAAAAAGGGGACCGCGTGGTATGGAGTCTTAAGGAGACTCCTTGCGAAACAGGTTCCTAGGTAGTCAGTTGTATGACCTGCGCTAAGCCACGAATAAAAATTAATGATTCAATCATCTCGCAAGTTTCTGCATAGCTGTGGTTTCATGTTTTGAGGGATTATGATGCTCATGTTGATCTAAAATCCGAGGACCTCGTTCAAGTCAAGAGTAGTAGTCAAGAATGATATGGGTATTGTCATTTTCGTAGCTTCGTATCTTGCATTGTTTCTTAGTGTAACATGTGTGAAGAGGCATCATCAATCCTTAATACTTAAAGACGCTCAACATCTTTTAAGATGAGGGCTTGTCTTTGAATAGCTTCTGTATTCGCTTGACAAAACGTTGTCTAGACCTTGGAGTTGACTTGCTAGGTTCCTTTTTGTCGGTCTTCTCGCTGATGTGGTCTTCTCTTCCGGGGCCTCTCTCCTTATTGAGACTCTTCAACTTTCTTGTATCACTGTTCATTTCAAATAGTTTGCAAACAGCCTCATAATACCCTTCTAGAGACCCATCAGGCATCTGTACTATGCCACCATTGAAACGGTTATCCACGAGACGCTGATATATGGCAAGTTGTCTTGAAGCGCTTTCCTGCTTCTTTATACTGTCGTCTGTCGTTGCAGCGACCTCCGTTTCTATCAGGAACTGGATAAGTTGATATCGGGATGTAGGACCTGGGAAGCCTGATTCAAGAGGCCTGTCGCGCACGTGGAGATCGGTGAATCCCGCCAGGCCAAACACGGCGTGAGATAATATGGAACAAGATTCTGGGCCTGGGATCACCAGGCTTGGCTCGGCCGTCACCTTGGCCCGCACATAAGGAGAGATGGCGAACTGTGCTGTGAGGGCCAGGAAGGAGATGTCGGGTTCGTTGCGAACCTGCGTGGTTGACCAGTGAGGCAGGCCTTGACGTTTTTCGATACTTTCAGGGGTAAAGGCCCCGGCATATATGGGCGGCACCGGATCGCCGCGTGGATTGAACGCGGCAACCTCGGCGCACTGTTTGTCCAGTCGATCCAGGATCTCAATGAGTTCACGGAAGTTGGGTGAATAATCGCGGACCCGAGCCGCATACCGCAGGCACGCCTGGACCGCCCTCCAGAAATCCTCTATGATGGTATGTCCGCCGTCTTTGATGCCCTTCTTTACTCTAGACATCTCAACAGTTACTGCCTTCAGGAGCGCCAGGTTTGGGTCGAAATCAACCGGTGCCTCCGAGCATATTACCGACCACTTGAAATTCACCCACTCGGCGACGCTTCGATGTAGATAATCGACGTGGCCATCCGTCACCTCCAGGAGGCCTCTTGTTCTGCTGTCCAGCCTTCTCTTCATAGTTTGAATGATTAGTTTGATGCGCCCAAAGGCGATCGTACTAAGATCTGTATCATATGGGTCATTTTCATTGGCGAGCCACATTGTGATTACGGATTCTTCGCCTAAGATTGCTTTGTAAATCTGAAAGAGTTGAGAGGAGTGGGCGATGTATCTAGGTTTGATTCGGCACCAGATTCCATCGTAAAGCTCTGACAAGTCACTGGGAAGCTCGTTCACCATGGTTTTCAGGTCAGACAGGTTATCACCCTCGGTGATGCTCTCCAAGATGGTGTTGACAACGACAGCCACCCAGAGGAAAACGCCTTGAGCCTTCTCGATGATGGCTTCCATGAGACGACTAGCATCGTCTGGTAGAGCATCTTGCAGCTCTCGGAAGGCAGGTGTCGAGTTGAACTTGCCGTCAACGAAGAGCTCGATATCCCCACGAGTAAGATCTTGTAATCTCAAACTCGGACCACAAGAGAAGGCGTCAACGAATACATTCCACGGCCGACTGCTGACGCATATTTTGGTGCCCGGATTTGAGCGAAACGGCCTGATGAGGTCAATGAGTTGCTTATGATCTCCGTCGAGTTCGTCAAGACCATCAATAAAGAGGGCCAGGTTGAAATCCTGACCAGCTAACATGTTGAGAGCGGAGAAGGTCTCAAGCAATTCTTCCTTGTTCCACATCGGGGCTGTTTGTAATGCACTAACACCGAAGACCTTGCACAGAGCCCACCGTTTAGGACACAGCTTTGGGACGATCTGAGGCTGTTGTTTGAGACACTGGTATAGAAGCGTTCTGAGGAGTCCTTCTTGCGTTTTCTGCATTGCACTCCCGGCATTCCAGAAATAAAAGCTCGCAACAAGGCAAGGCCTCGGGTCCGCCCAATCCCTCAAGGGTTGTATCATTTTTGAATGAGATGAGATGAACTTCATCAAAGTAGACTTTCCAGATCCCGGCTTGCCTGTCATCCAGTATATATCTTCGGATGGACCGGTGAGCCATGACAGGAAGTCAGACCAGCGAGGCGTACCATCTGGAGTAAGTCGTGGCGTCTTCAGGAGCCACTCGAAAGTTTCTTTGTAAGCCTTGAATATCGCTGTTTCTCTCGAGCTGATGTCATCGAAATCCAAGCTTTTGGTTATAGATCTAGCGTAGATTAAGTCTCCCGTGTTCTCTACTGCTTTCGCACCCACTTCCGCTTTCGTGTCCTCTTCTAAGCTGTCAGTTTTGTTATTCCAATCGGATGACCAAAAGGATTCCACGGCTTCTTCGTACTCTCGATCTTCACTGGACTTGGTATTGTTGACTACCTGAATTAATGTCTTATTAAGTGTTTGGGTGCTGTCGTCTATTTGGTTGAGTGTGGATATCATATCATTTTGTTGTCGTGAAAGTTTCTGAACATCATGCGCTCCGGACTTTGACTCCTCCCTGGTGCTTCTGTTAGAACGTTATGCCCAAACTAACCTACTTGACAAATGAAAATAAATAACGCACCAGAGGAATGTCAACATAGCCATCATCATCTGCCGTCTCACATCAGTGATCCGTTCACGGAAACCATCGATCCTATCGCGAGACCAGCATTTGCGTAACGCAACCGCAAAACTCTCCACTGCCAGCTTTAATTTGCCAGTGTTGTGTGTCTGCAGCTGGTTGAGGGCATTTCCCAACTCTTTGGACAGTTCCTGGGCCGTATGACAAAGCCTGAGCAATGTCTGCTCTGAAGTGCTCAACCCATCGCTAAGGTCCACTAGGCGAGACGACTTTTCCTCTATACTGGAACTAAGCTGGTGTAGGTCTACCCCGATCGTAGACAGTTCAACAATATCCGATGTCATTCCCGACACCGATTTGTACGTCTTCGTAGTCTCCTTCAGCAGGCGAGCGCCAAAATCAGAGAACTGCACAACTGCCGCCGCAACTGAGACGGCCGTGATGGGATCCATCGTGCAGTGCAGGTTGCAGCTGCAACCTGTGATCCGAGGCGCGGCTCCTCAAAGAGGTTAAAGCCAGCGATATGATCGTGGAGGTTGAGGTATCATGAATCCTGGAAGTGGGGGAACAATCGTAATCGAGGGGTGAGAATCCTATGTGGCTGATATACTGTGGCCTAATTGATCGAGCACTGCCTCACAATGCGCCCAATAATTCGACATCAACCTAGAATTTCCTTGAAAGCTCCAAACTCGAGGAGCCATCGTTAATGCTTCACTTTTTATTTCATCTTACAGTTGGTCTTCAGCAGTCTGAGCCCGATCTTTGGGAAAGCGATTTTCGTTCCTGATGGCTGGAATACCTTGGGACAGCATCAGCGGCATATTGATTGGCGATGGTGGCCTAGACAATGAAGCGGTGGCGCCAGGCCCTGTTCTTCGGCCCCGTCATGCTGGCTAGATTGAATCTGCATCGTTAAGACTGCAGTCATCAACATTACTGGGGGTAGCAAGATTGAGATTGAATGACAAAAGCCTTAGGTTCTTTCTAAGAGAAAGCGACGTGTTTGTCCCGCCAGGTGGGCACTATCCAACAGGAATTGGCGTTGAATTGTCACTTGCGCGCCTACGCAGTAGGTCCTACAAGATGTAGGAGGAATTGGAGAAGCATTCTGTAATGTATCGAGTGAGCGACGAAGGTACACAGCTGATGAACGATTGTTATGGAAAGGGGAATGATACCTTAAAAAGGATGCCTATTTAAGTCTCATAAAACAATGGCTTGTTCTTTCATGGGGTCGGCTGCCGACAAGTAGCTTCGGGTTTGTGTTTCCACATTCTAGAAGTCCGACACGGAATTGGATTTAAGACCTCTCCCGGTTTACGTCTCGGTCGTCCGAATCAAATTGTACAAGGCAAAGCTCTGTATTGCATTTCAGATAATTGATTAGTAATTACTGAGACTGCGGCACAATCATATTGAGTTATTGTAAGTTGCCATGTGCACAGAGCATTTTTGGCGGGACGCCTGTTTACCAGGGATCATATTCAAACAGGCGCCGTCCTTTAAGCTCACAGGGTTAAGTGTGATAGTCAACGTGGTTACGTCCACACCGTGCAGATCAAGAGAAAATATTAGCCATCGGAAGTAGTGTAACTACAGAAGTACTAGCATTTTGCTACAGTTTCATAGGTCGTATACGCAGCTTTTCCCCTTGCAGTGTTTGTGGGCCTAGGACGTGTTCTGTGCCTCAAAGGATTGATCCTCTCCCCCTCAATCACCAAGAAAGATCATCCTGACCATGGATTCTCGAATAAAGATTACTAAACAAGTTCCATTTCGTCCCATCACACGAAATCCGTCTGAAGAGGGCAGCTCTTCTTCCCAGATAACAATGTCAAGGACTAATTCTGATATTGTTCACCCAAGATAATCTCTGAAGAGTTTCAAGGAGACATGTCGTCCGGCACACATAATACCGCGCCAAAGAGGAAATCACAGGAGACAATATCGGTATGACACGACCTGGACTTTGTGGTAATTGGAGATCTAACAGCTATCATAGTCTATGTTGCGGACAGCGCTATAGAAGTACGTGCCACCCTTCACAGATACCCGCAATATCAGCTAAATTCTTGAGTAGGTCGAGAGACAACGTCTTAGTAAGAAATTATTCCTTTGAAGCTGATTGCTGAGACTAACCGGCTTAGACTATCAAGATGTTGCGCTGACACTATTGCTTGATGGAGAATTGCTCGTAAGCACTTTAAAACAGAAACCGAGGAATGTCCCTGATCTTGCAACAGGAACCGGTACGTCATTTGTGTTCCTACGTTGGCCTTGTGTTCCTAACTATCACTAGCAAAATGGGCTCACGATTTTGGTTCGTAAACCCTTCAAACTCTGCCAGCTTCATTTAACCGTCAAAATAGCAAAGAAGTACCCAGAATCAACGGTGACCGGTGTTGATGTGACTGAGGCTCTCGATCCTAACTATGTCGCGCCAAATCGTAGAATTGAGCCGGAGCTAACAATAGTAGCCCACCCTCCAACTTCAATTTTGAGGTCCTAGATATCCAACAAGATTGGACTTTTCCAGAGTTGTTCGACATCATCCATGGACGACTCTTATTCACCATCCAGCTAGACTTTCCCAGGTTATTCGCCCAGGCATACAACAATTTAGCACCAGGTGGTTGTTTCGAGCTGCAGGATTGCATATGGCCCTTCCACCACGATGGGTATCTTGACCCAGCTTGCTCGGGCGCATTGCTTCTGGATGGGCTTTCGAGGGGAATTCCAGCTCTCGGTCTCGATTGAGGCCAAACGTGAAAGTTTGATGCATATATGAGGGAACAGGGCTTCGTAGATGTTCAAGTCAAAACCTATCGTGCTCCGTTTGGTGAATGGTCCGAAAATGCCAAGGAAAAGGAAGTCGGACGCATAATGGGCGGAGATTGTTATCCTCGTTATCTACCCGCGTGAAAAGTGGTCTGGACCAAGGGACTAGGCTGGTCAGATGACAAGATCGAGAAGATAGAAAGGGATCTCAAAGCCGATATTGAGTCCCTGAAAGCCCGTTTCTGGTTGGAGTACCGCGTTATAACTGGCAAGAAGCCGGAATAGGGGATTGTTCATTGTGATGTCCAGATTCGAATATTTCAGCCGCCGGGATAACTCAAATAAGGCTCTATGTGGCATTTATCTAGTTTCCTCAACTGTGGCCTGGCGTGACTGTTACTCTGGAGAGCGCAGTTAGAAACATGTTCAAGTGCAAAGCTATTTGTTTCACTAAAGGAAGGGAGAAAGGAGCTTACCGGATCTACCCAGATAAATTCATGTTGGAGATAGACGGTCCCTCCGGCGTCACGCATGATGAAGCTTACTGGCTTACCCATGACTTTCAGTCCATCGACCTCGGCATGGATAACGCGATTCTTGTCGAAATGAATATCGCGAACTCGTCTCTCCTCGGGGGGGAAATCCGTCAATGACACCCAACCTATTGGCACATCCTTCTCGTTCAGAATCATATTCTGTTCAACCTCGATAACTCGTCTACCAAGCTCGTACATAATTTCAGAGTCCCAGAAGTTTTCCCTCTTTGCAGTGTATGTTTTAACTAATTCAAGGGCTTCGAGGCGAGTGACAAGATCGCGGCATTTCATGACGACGATATGAGTAATCATCAGGTATCCTATTTCGAATCGGAACTCTGGTCCCTTGGGAATCTCGGTTCGCTGCTTCATCTTCGAACTCAAATGTCTCGCAATGTCGACCATGTAGCGAAATTTCTCGATAAATTCGTCGTAAGCCGTCTCGTCAGGATCTTGTGCTATTGTAATCCAGATTCTGCAGAACTCAGCCCGCAACTCGCAGCAAAGAAACCAAGCTTCAGTATCACCTGACCACCCCTGCTTCTGCAGATGTTTGCCAAACCTTGCCAGAGCTGGCACGAAATGTCCAATCGCCTGCTTGAGCTCTGTCTCAGCAGGTGATGATCTAGGCCAGATCGCCTGGTTACGGAGGCAGCCGTAAAGATACTCATCTCCGCGACAAGCAAGCTGTAGCCTTCGGGCTATAATGTTTTCGATGGCGAGGTTAACCTCACGCAAAGTGTTAAAGTTTTTAGGGATATGTGTCAGAGGGTTTTGAATGGAATTCATAGATCGAGCGTAGAAGACCGGCAACGGGCTTAGTCGGTGAAATATCGGAGCCAGATAATCCTGAGCCCAGACAGCTGTGGTTTGAATACTTTGCAGAATGGCAAGCCCATGCCGGCAATGAATAATAGCCTGTTCCGTATTGTCTTGTATGACTTCGATGCAGACGAAGAGGAGGCAGACTAGCAGAACAAGCGGCTCGTATCGTACATCTCGCAATTTGTGTACAGCATGATTGTAGTGGAAGAGGGCGAAGGGATTCGTCGCAAGTCGGCTTACTTCCCTGCCTTTGCACGAGAGGTCCTCGTAAAGCGAACTGATGGCGACGACTGCGTGTCGCACTATAGGTTCGGAGTTGCTGAGCTGCAGGACGAGACCACTCCAGAAGTAAGAATCATAGAGGCCTGATAATGACTTCGCGACTCGAGCGCGGAAGAAATGCAATGCCCTTGCTTCAGCTGGTTGGTCCCAGGCCGGTAACAACTGCCGCGGCTCTGCCAGGATGCTCAATTGCTCTGGAGAGGAATAGCCATCGCATTTTCGCCCTGTCTGCGTACATCGAGCGCAATGGGGTTTCCTTTCGTCACACTATATGTGATTACGCCAGTATGTCAGAAAAGCTCAGCGAGAACTTCTATTAAAGCATCTGCCGCTCGGCCCTCACCTTGATTTTTCGAATACTAGTAACAGTTAGCTTGCCCAGAGTGCCGATTATTCTTTCCACCCTCTCTTGGTGGGCGTTGTGAAAAGAGTAAACATACCGGCATGTGATGCAACCTGTTTGCGCCTTGTTTCTACCCTTTCGAGCCATCTGTAATCGTAGCGTCCTTGAGATGATACAGAACTGTGCCGTCAGGAGACAGATCCGGCCAGTGATGGTATATACCGGCGCAGGATTCGAGTGGGTTTCAACTAAGTTGACCCATAGTGGAGTCGTTTCACTCAAAACTATTGGAAGAGTAAGCGAAATAACCAATCAGAGTTATGCTCCTTGGCAAGTCTGAACTAAGTTCTCTAAGCCAGTTTTAATTATCCCCACGGATTTCGGGAAAACCGTGCGGCGTAAAATGAGATACAACCGACACTTATTCGTGATGGTGACGATCTAGCCAATCATCATTCAATCCAAAACAAGATCTGGCCTAGAGAAGGATTTAGGGCTGAACGCACGTACACAGCCGTTGATGAGGTAATTGGGCTAAACATGACAAAGCTCAACAGTAATGTGGGTATTTCGTTCCCCTGATCCTTCCGAGGAATCCCAAAGGGCTCAAATTCATGTGAATTGGTATCGCCGCGGGGATGTTGAAGTACCAACACGACGGAAACCATCTCATTGAAAGTGATCTATGTTTTAGCAAGGACCTGCTAGCCTAAAAATAGATAGATATAAACATCTTTCCCTGAATGCAATCGGTTTTCGACCTCGCAAGTGGCCCGCGGGTTTGGGATATGTCTCCCGCGGGTTTGGGTTTCCATAGTCTACAATACTAGCTTGAGGAGACACCAAGATAATATATATATCACCAGAGTGTTCAGGAACAGATTTGAATTAATTCCAACTCTATCAGCATCATCAAGCAATCAAGACAATCACATCATCTTATCTTCACCACAAATCACTCAAGACACTACCAGCTAGTCACTTCAAACTCTAATCACCATGCCTTACATTGTCACTGTCATGTTCGCCAGGCCCGCCAGCGGCAAATACAACTTCAACATGGATCACTACCTCAACGTCCATACCGAACTGGCAACCAAGGTTTTTGGCCCACTGGGCCTGCGATCTCTAAAAGTCGTGGACTATCGGGACGACGAGTCTCAGCCGTACCTGATCGGAAACGTGATGGAATGGGAGAGTGTCGAGGCGTTCGAGAGGGAGAAAGGCAGCGCAGCCGTCGGCGCAGTGTTCGCCGACCTGGCCAACGTCACCGACCTACCGCCAATCTTCCTACAAGGCGAGATCAAGAAGACGGTGAAATACGACCCGACAAACTAAGGTCTGAAAGGATTATATACATCCTGCAAGACTCTCACGACCAAGTCAGAAAGAAAAATAGAGGGGATTGATAGGATATTCATAGTCATATCTGCAACTTAATGAGGCAGTGTTTCCTACAGTTCATGGTTCATGTCTAGGCATTGGGGGGAAGGACGCCCTGGACATCTCAAGGCGGAACCGGTTTCACAATAATGTATTTTAAATCTGCTAGACTTTTATGACTAGACTCTCGTTAATGGAAGAAACTGCATTGCGTCATGGTATCATGAGCACTACTCCCCGAATTTCCAAGTGCTATCTTCAGCTTGAAACCAGCTCTGGATCCTCGATGGCATTGAAAAGCACGCTCTGGCTTGACCAAGTTAGGTTTCGAGCGGCACAGCACGAAGAAAACAGCTCGTTTTCCAAATGTAGATTAAGTCCTGTCCAAATACTGTGCCGCGCCCCGTCGTCTTATATGTGGCCCGTTGTAGGGATGTTTAGATCGGTGTGGCGGCGGGATAAGCTTGTTTGTAAAGAGATCGTGGGGTTACTAAAGCTAACTCGGCTAACTCGGATCCGAGCCAGGCAACATGATGACATAACTCCTGAAGACATTCCAAGATGAAACTTGTAGATCTGGAAATAAGAAGGCAAGAAGGATTAATTATAAAAAGCTTGAATAATCGCCATGAGAAAGGTGTGGACTCAGCAGCACTCACGACCCTGCGTTCCAATCCAACCCCAAAAGAAGAGTTGACACCGTAGCACACGAATTGTCATATTGATAAAAATTCGAAACGATGCCCCATCTCATTAAGAAAGTTGCGCTCACTGGGGTAATACTCTTGTATACTCAACTTCAAAACTGGGCACTAGTTAAACTCTGATATAGGCCAAGGGCAGTGTCGGAGCCAAAGTGCTCGACGCATTGATCGAAGCGAGGTTCCAAGTTACCGTCCTTACCCGAAAAGAAGCCAAGCATCCCGCCGGGGTTGAAGTAAAGGTTGTCGACTACAGCTCCCTGTCGTCGCTCAAGGATGCAGTCCAAGGCCAAGATGCTGTGATCGACACGACTCAGAGCAACGACAGCGAAACACCTGTCCGACTCATTGAGGCGAGTGCTGCAGTAGGAGTGTATCGATTGTACGTGAACTGAAAATTCATCCGTTGATCTCTTCCGAAACTAATGGCTGGTCAGCATTACAAGTGACTTTGGTTTGGACCCAGACCTGCCTGGAGTTCACGATGTGCCAGTATTCGCTCGCAAGAAGGCAGCCTACGATGCCGTGAAGGCGAAGTTCAAGGAGACGGGCATGACATACACTGTCATTACACCCGGTCTTATCCTAGACTGGAACCTTGCGACTGGGTTTGCCGGCATTCAACTGAAAGAGAAGAAGGTCACTTTCTTTGACAAAGGAGACAACGTCATGCCCTGGACAACGCTGCAGGACATTGGGCGAGCAGGCGCCAGTGCGCTCCTGAAGCCCGAAGAGACGCTCAATCGCCCCGTGTACATACACAATGTCAACATGACGCAGAGGCAGATGCTAGACGTAGCGAAGGATGTATTGGGGAGTGATGGATGGGAAGAAACGTCACAGGGTATGACGGCTGCCTATAAACAGGCTCTTGCGGATATGAAGGCGGGCAACATCACGATGATGACATTTGGAGTTCAGCTCCAGTATTGCATGGCCAAGAAAGAGCTTTGTCATCCATGGGAAAAGGACGACAATGCCCTTGTAGGTGTCAAGGAGATGACCCGAGACCAGGTGAAGCAGCTCATTCGAGACATTGTTGTGTAGGCGCATACTAGTCGTGCAGCAAGCCTATGAGCGGAAGTCCGCCTGATAGCTGTCACATGATGGCGGGGCCCGAATTCCGATCGACCTCGCTATGATCACAGCCAGACATGGACCGACCGCAGCACTTGGAAGCACATCAATTGAGCGCGGAAGAGCGCAAGGCACTCGAAGACGCTGTTCCCGCGATCGAACCGTTACTCGTGAATCGAGGTCGGGCTGACGTGAATACCGACGCAGCTGGCCTGGAGGCGGCGTGCAGCGAATTCCACCGACTCTTCAACAAGCGGCCACAGGTATTTGTCTCTTCTTTCCCTCTGAGCATGGGCTAATTTAAGACAGTTCGTAGATGGATCACTGCTTGTATCTCTCCGAGTCGTCGGGGAGTACCTGCTCCGCATCAGCCAGCCCCCCGTGATACTCGTGCCGGCCAGGATATCCGAAGGTGCAAGAGTAGGAACGAAGGAGGTACAACTTGGCACTTATATGTATCTGATGGAAGACGTTGCTATATCACCAGAGGTC